TATTAAGATTAAAATTACTACAATTCCATTTGTTTTTAAATTTTGATCATTCAATTTATTTATTATTTTTCTTTTTAGTTTTCCTTTACTTAAATTTCAACTATAATTGAAATTATTTTTATATTATGTATCACGTATATTGCATGAGCGGGTGATCGTTGTCATTGGAAATAAAAGATATTGGCTAGTTTAGTCAGTTAAAATTAACAATACTCAAAATAATAAATAGGTCTTGTACGACGACAAACGTATCAGTACAAGTTTCTGGCCAACACTCAGAGTCGTTACAGAAATACGCGTCATTTTTAATAAATTTGATAAATTTGACGAGTAAATAATAATAATAATAATAATAAAAATAATAGTAATAATAAAAAAAATAACAATAATGATACAAACTATCTCGAAATTACATTTAATATCGTGAAAATGAACAAGATAACGAAGACAAGACCTAAATTAATTTTAATACTTGGCATTTTTGTTTCTTTTTTAAAAATTTGTAATTAAATGTCTTTTATTATATACGTATCGTGAAAATATTAATAATTTTAATGTTATGCAAATATATACATTAAAGAATATTTTATACTTTACATTAAAGTTTTAAAAAATTTTTTTTTTACAATTATGTTCGCGCGGGACAAAAAAAAATATCCGTTGGGGAAAAAAAACAAACTTGATATGAATAACTATAAATAACTTTAAAATGATATTCCTTAATCTGTCGGGCAGGAGAATTTGCCTGCTAAAACAATGTAACATGTGAAAACCGAATCCATGGGATAATTGCTTAAAATCAGTGAAAAATTAATAATAAAAAAAAAAATTTTCGAACCAAAATGATTTCATAGTAACGCCCACCTCCTTGTCCAATATGTTTGTTCTCATTATTATTGGCAGTAAAATATTAAAAGATGAGTGTTATATTTGTCACCGTATCACCTTTTTTATTAAAATAATCAACCGTGAAGTTTACAGAATTAATGTATTCAAAATCAAAATCAAAATCACTCGAATCAAAAAAAAAAAAAAAAAGGAAAAGGAAAAGAAAAAAAGAAAAAAAAAATCATACAAGATTAAAAAGAAAATGATTCAAAAAAAAAAAACAATGAAAACTTATTTTACAGAGTAATAATTGGTATTAATATAAATAAGTTTGTTGATTCCCAAAAAAACCCCACGCCATGAATAAATTTTCTCTAAATAAATAAAAAAAAATAAATAAATAAATAAAAATTCTAATTAGATTTTACAACAATTGATGATTTAATGTACAGTGTGGTAAAAAGGTATTGTTCCCCGTTAAAATCATTGAGTGGAACGTGACGATAACCTATTAAATCAATTAATTGAATATCAATAATTGTAATAAATATTTCTTTAAGATTTACAGAAAATATTTTACCAAGTTGTAAACTAGCCATGGGAATACAATAAGAAGCAATAAAATCATTGTTTCTAGTATCTTCATCCCAAACGATAAACCTATTAAAATCATTTTATATATAGATATATATATAAATGTATTAGTTATATTGGTGATGAAATCTAAGAGTGTTGCGCGCACGTAATGTATGTGTTGAGATGAAATATTTACCGTAAAAAAACTAAATTTATTTCCTCAAAATCCATTGGAAATTTTATTACTTCATTCCAAGTTGGATTAAATCCGTTATCGCTAATGGTTTTTGTTCTTTTTTTAACTGGATCAGCACCCGGAACTAATAATTCGACTTCAACGAATGGATCAATAATTTCACCTTTAATCGCTTCCTTTGGTTTAGGAAGTTGTTGGGCGGATATAATCTATATTGTACAATTAATTAATTAAATGAGTTCTTCATCTTCAAAATTTTAATGGGAAATTATGAAAAATATTGTTAACTTACTTTGATGATTAAGGTTTGTGAGGTAGTTGTAGAAACCGATTGAATTATATCGGCATTACGTAAACGTTCTGACTTAAGTACATAACCACATCTACCATTTACAGTAAACATAGCTTGATTGATTTGCATTCCAAGATCTATAAATAAAATAAATAATATAAGAAAATATGAAGATATGAGAGATTACATAAACATCTCTTTTTTATAACAATTTACTTACCAAAGGTTTGCCAATTTAAAGCTACCATCTGATTCCCAGCACCCCATTGATGATGAGGATCATAATTTGAAGAATTTATCCGAAATCCAGATGGATAAATACGGGATAAATGACGAGTATTATGGCGAATAAAACCTTTTTTATCAGATTTGATGTACCGCGATGCTACTTTTTCACTAAATGAGGACATGTGAAAGTAACGAGAATTCTCTAATTATATTTTTAAAAAGAGGTAAAATAATTTAATTTAATTCAATTAATAATCAAATTAATTTATGATTATAATTGAGATTTTGCACATTATTAGTTATTACCAGAATGATATTCAAATCCTTTAAATTTCACGGCCGAGCAGTAAGAAACTAAATCCGAAAGAGCTTTGGCGACAGTTTTTCTACTTTTAAGTTTTGTCTTCTTTTTCTGCGTCTCTTTTATGTCTTAAAATTTATTAATTAATCAGTAATTATTCGAGTGAAATTGAAATAATAATAAAATTAATAAATTCTCAAAGGAAAATACCTTTGGAGCTTTCTACATCCGATTCAGTATCTGTGGCTGATTCGGTATCCGTGGCCGAATCAGTGAAGTAATCATCTGTTACATCTGCAGAAATAGTTTTACCCTATATAAAATTTTATAAATCATTAATTTGAATATAATTTTGTAATATTAGGAAATATATATTCAATATATATACATATATACCTTTATTAATATTCTGTACATTAAACTTGCTGGACTTGGTAATGTTGATTCATTATCAGATAAAAACTTGGTGACAAGATATTCTCCCAATATATCACGTAAAATTGCAGCCATTTTGGTTTGTTGTTCAATACAACAATGAACCTCTAACGATAATATTAATGGGTAAGGACTAGCTTTAAATGCATAAGTACGAATGGCTGATATAACATCTCGAAACAAAATTTTCGATGTCCTATAAAAATAAAAAAATAAATATATATATATTTTTTAATAATGAATCAGAAAAAAGATATAATGAAAAAGAAAAACGAGAAATATTATTCATTAATTTAATTAATTTACCAAGTATGACCATGCGTAACCAAAGGTCCATCGGGTCCATCCCAACAATCGACTAAAAATAATATATTTTATATATTGATATATGTATATATTTTTTTTTTTCGTTGAAATTTATAATCGTCATTGATAAAATGTAAATATCCATATCATACTTTCAACGCAACGACAACCTCTTTGCAAAACGCGTATATATCCTTCGATCGAAGATTCTCCAGTTAACTGATGTCCAAGTAGATACCTGAAGATTGTATTTATTTATTAGAAGAATGACATCGAATCATATTATCTTATTTCCAATAATAATAATAATAATAATAATAATAATGATAATAATAAATTCATACTAACATACGTGTTATGTGATGAATCAATGAAATAATGACAAAGTGGTTGATTCATGTCCTGATATATTTTGGCATATTCTGGTGAAAATACTGAATTATCACTGGACATAAGAAAACTACTAAATCCTTCAAGGCTCATTTCTTTACGATCTTTGTCGCAGAATTTATAATACAAATTATCATATTCTTCTTCTTTTAAATTGAACTATGTTATGAATAAGAACAATATTAATGTATAAATAATATATAAATCATATACGGATAATATACAAATAACAATTAACACATGAAAAAATTTTTTTGTTCTTTTCAGACCTTTTGGATATTGATTAGGAAATCTTTAAATTCAGTTGGTTTCAAGACCTCATCCTGAGACGTTGCCAATGAGCTAAATAACTCTTCCAATTCAACTCTTTTTTTAATTAATTTTACAAATCCCTGAAAATCTCCAAAATCGAGCCAACCAACCTTATTTTTATCGGCTTCCTATAAGGAAGGAAATATAATTAAAAAGTAATAAAAAAAAAATTATAATGGAAATATAATAAAAATAGAATGAAAATTTAATGGAAATGTAAAAGTTAAGTATACAAAGAAAGTTTTTAATATGGTTATAAACAATAAAACAATAGAACAAACAAAAACGTACATCAAATTTGGCTTTCAATATTGCTTTGGACATATTTATATTCAAATGATGACATAATCTGACTATTTCATCAAATCCTAATTTAGAATCAGCATCTTTATTGGCTTGTTTCCAATGTTGTTTGAGCCAAACCGATTGTCGTCTTCTTAAATGTCCTAATCCTCCCATCAAATCTCTTCTATGTAAATAAAGTCTTTCTAAATTATCTACCCATATTTTAAATAATTTTGCTGTGGGTGCAACCAAGTGTAAAGTTTTATATTTTCCTGAATCAACATGAACTATGGTGAACCATTTTGACTCATATTCCATACTAAGTTTAAAAAGTTCACGATAATTTCTTATTGCTTCACCGATTCGGAGTTCCTTGATATTCTCAATGTTGACTAAAGGAATGATAAATTAATTATGAGATATAAAGTTTTTTCAAATTTATCATCATAAATTTATATTAAAAAAAAAAAAAAAAAATTGAATATTTGCCTTTTCCTGATTTTTTAGAATCCCATAAAATTCTTCCTAGATCAACATCAATTTTAAAGGTTCGTTGTTGCTTTTTTTTTGCTGATACTTTTAATAGTGCTGTACCTTCAGCAAGACAAGGTTCAACAACTATTCCATGTGTATTGGGATTAATTCCACGATTTGAAAATTTGTTATATACACTCGAACGTTTAGATCGAAGAATTGAATTTCCTTCATTATTATTTTTAATTTCCATGTTAGAATTTATTGATTTTCCTGTAATCTGATTTGGTGAATTAATATTTGTAGGTGAAGAAACATCACTAGTTACAATACTATTTATAATTACTTCATCAGATACAACAACCGCTTTTCTTGGAGTAACCACTGAAGGTGTACTTAAAGAGAATCTCTTATTTGAATTTGATTCATATACATTATATCTTTGAATTGATTTATTATCTGTTGAGTAAGTAAATGAATGAACTATGGGAGAATGTGAATCATTTGTTTTTATTGAATCTAATTGTTTTCTAATTTTAGGCCATAAAAGTGTATCTGATCGAGATCTAGTTAAAGAATTATTTTTTGTTGTTTCAATATCTTTGAAAATATTTTTAGATTTCTTTTTCTTTGAATTAGATTTGTGTAAAGCAAAATCATTATTTTGATTAAAATCTCTAGATAAAGTTGTATCTGTCACGTGATGTATATCTTTGGGAGGATTTGATAATGAAGTTGAACTTTTTTCATTTAATTCTTTTTCATCACTACAAGGAATGATCCTAGAATATTGTTCAAGATTATATATTGAAACAGATTTATGGTCGTTTGTATAGATCTTATTCTCAGAATCTTTAGAGACAGATTGCGCGTCGTGAGGTTTATTTTCTTCAAACGCGTCCACTTTGGTAGTATCGTCAGTCGAATAGGTTAAATAAGATGTTGTCGCTAAAGATTTGGGAATATGAATTCCCGAAAACGAATCGATTTTTTCATAGTCATTGATATCGTCCGTAATTACATCAAGAGCATCGTCATTAGTCTTTTGCTTTTTTAACCACTTTTTCTGCCAGGTCGTAAAAACCAATATAGTACGAGAAAACATGATTTAAATAAAACGCATGAATAAAGAAATAATAAATAAGTTTGAATCTATTAAATAAATAATTTCGATTCAGGTTCTGTGTAGGGCAATAAATATCAAATCACATAATTGGATTCACGTGATGTTGGGTAATGAATTCATAAAATTGTGCACAACATAAATAGTAATGTCAATTTAATGTCAGTGCATTGTAACATTTTGAGTACCTAATATTGAGTAATATGTAATATGTACTACACGTTACTAATAATAATCAACCTAAATTCGACATCATTACGTCATAAAACTGTTTTTTCACAAAAATTTTTTTTTTAACACAAAACATTTTGCCAAGAACAGTTTACAATTTAAATTTATGTATTTATTCGGCATATCGATATTTTTATTACAATCATATTCATAAATATTTGAGAAATTAATAAAGTATGCCTGACCGAGCAACAACTCCGGAAAATATACTCTATCAAAGAGAAACGATTCTAGATTCCATCAACGACTCCTCATCGGATGAGGAGACGACACGTTCCACTGTCTCATGGAATAGAGAAGAACTCAATTATATATTATTTGTAATTATTTCTTTTATTTATTATTTTAAGCAAACAAATATAATCAAATAACATCAATATTACGTCGTACGCTATCCTAACTCGAAAAAAATTTTCTTTATTGCCATAAGGAGTTTGATACATTTATTATGAGATCTACGCCTCCGTTGGCTCCGTTTCCTCAAGGTAATCCTCCAGGTCAACTGTGTCATCGAGTGGCGAAAAAGCTTGTACAGGAGCAAATTGGATGGAGACATTCTGTAAAAGAAACCGCAAAAATGCTAAGACAAGAAGTAAATAAGAGAGATGCACCACAAAGAAATTTTATGTCTACTCTGATGACGATAAGACCAACATCACGGTTTCGACCATTATTATTTACAGACGGGGGACATACGCCTCACAGTCGTCGAACTCGACCTCGACCTGGTTAATATATTTTTTTTTATTTTAAATAATTAATTAATCATTGATAAAAATGAAAAAAAAAAACTTTTTTTTTTTAATATTCTCTTTAAAATTTTTTTTTGTAGGGAGAGTGTAACACGGGTGACACACATAACAAAATAGGCAATGGATATGCATTTATAAATATTTTTAATTTTGTAATTATAATTATTATATAATTAATATTTGTATTATAAAAAAAAAAAAGATAAAGTTTTATTGATTAATAAAATTTTCATTAATAAATATTCCATATATAATTTACTTTTTTAATTAATAATTATTATTGACGAGTATTGCGGATGGTTTTAAGATTATTAGCAATATTTTCTAGAAATTCTTCAGTAAGAACATAATGTTCTCGTTTAAGGCTTTTTTGTTTTTGTTTTTTAGAAAAAAAAAAGAAACAAATGAATTAATAAATTATGATAAATTAACAAAAATTAATAAAAATAATAATTATTAAAAGCCTACTTCTTCGCGCCGTGAATTGATAATGCAAGATCTTTGGTCATTTTTCCGTGAATTTCTACTGTTTCAATACACGCCCTTTCAAGATCTTGAGAAAATTTTGATAATTCTTGATTATTATCGAGTTTAGCTCTATGCGATAGACCACGTGTCCATGCAAATATCGATGCTATGGGATTTGTAGATGTTTCTTGACCCTATTTTTTTTTTTTTTTTTTTTTGGTAAAAAAAGAATAAAAGGAAATGAAATTTTTATGAATAAATTTTATCTGAATAGAAATGGAAGAGATTTGTGAACTTACCTTTTGATATTGTCGATAATGTCTAGTTACTGTGCCTATTGAATATAAAAATTGTTAACATCATATAAATAATATCTAATTAATAATTTTATATTATAATTATTTACCATGAGCAGCTTCAGATTCCAAAGTCTTTCCATCTGGTGTAGTAAGAATGCTGGTCATCAAACCCAATGATCCAAACCCTAGAAATGTGAAAATTTCGAATTTAATAAATTTTAAAAACACCAAATATATATAAAAAACATTTAAACAAAACTTTTTTTTTTAATTTAGAAATTACCTTGAGCTAAAATATCAGACTTTAATAACAAATCTCAAAAATGTTAATTACAAGTTTTTTTTTTTTTTTGCGTGGAATAATATAAATATAAAATATAAAATAGAAATGAATTCCTACCTGTACATCACTAAATAATAGTAGTAGTAGTAAAAAAATTTGGTGACATGAAATCTCATTTTAAAAGCAATAAATAATATAAAACGAAGAAACTTACCCATCATAATTTTTGGTAGCCCAAACAAATCCACCACTTGATTTTAAAGCTTGGGCAACCATATCATCAATTAGTCGATGTTCATACATGATTTTTTTTTCAACGAATTTATCCTTATAATCTCTAATAGGAAAAAGAGATGTAAATAAATGTTTCATTATGTAATTTGATATAATCGTTATTAATTAATCCATTCACCTTTCATAAATCTGTTGAAAGATGTCTTTGAATCGACCGTCGTATTTTTTCAATATGGTATTTTTAGTACTTAAATACTGAAATTTTCAAAAAGTTTTGATTAAAATTATCTATTATTTATCTTTAAATGCAACAACAAAAAACATGGTGTTTAAAATACCAATGGCATTTCTTTGTTCAGAGCCATCTGAAAACTGCTATGGGCAAACCCTGAAATGGACTAAAAACAATTAACGCGATTAATGTCATCATTATTATCATCATTATTATTATTATTCGTCAGAAAATCCATTATTTGATTTTAAAAGTATACCGCATCAAGGTTATACATGGCCATCGCGACTCCTGGTGCCTAATATAATGTAATAAAAAATTAATTATATTTGTGTTATATTAAATTGATTATTATAATATAATACACCGCAATATTACGTAATATTACATAATAAATTTAATGTTTACCTGGTATTCATAGACCAATTCGCTTTGTTGACTCGATTTATCATCGGGCTCAAAAGTTAATCGAAGTTTACCAGGACGATCGATGATCATTTCTGTGGCTTTATACTAAATAACATCAAAATAGTTAACACAACACGGTGACATGGAAATTATTGAATAAATCTTTTTGCTCACCTGATCACCAAACGCATGACGACCGATCACAATTGGTTTTGTCCAGCCTGGGACAATTCTTGGTACTGTCTTCATTAAAATTGGTTCACTGAAAGAAAAAAGAAATTTTTTTTTTTATAATTTCAATTAAATCAAGAAAATTAAGGATTTGATTAAAAGAAATATTTTTAAAGATTACCGAAAAACCACTCCATTCAAGATATTTCGAATAGTACCGTTTGGGGATTTCCACATTTTTTTAAGATTAAATTCTAAGAAAAAATCAATTTTATAGTTATTTGATAAAATTATAATTTCACAATTTTCGAATTACATACGCCTTTTATTTATTTATTACCTTTAACTCTCTCTTCGTCGGGAGTAATTGTTGCACATTTAATCCCAACGTTATATTTCTTTATAGCCTCAGCTGCATCTATTGTTATTTGATCATTGGTCTAGAAATATTTTAATAAATATTTAAAAGAACTTTAATATAAAAAAAAATAAAATAAAAATGTTATATATCTATCTGATAACAAAAAAAAAAATAAAACTTACAACGTCTCGGTTTTGTATTCCCAAATCATAATATTTGATGTCTAGTTCAACATAAGGAAAAATCAACTAAAAAAAAAAGAGACATTATAGGAATTATGTAATTATGTATTTTCTGTTGAATAATTATTGTAAAAGTTAATAATCTTACTTGGGTCTTGATTTTTTCCCAAATGACGCGAGTCATTTCATCCCCATCCAAGTCAACCACTGGGTTTTGAACTTTGATACGCATATCTTGAGAATCTAAAATAAAAAAAAAAAACTTAGTTATATGATAAAGTTTCGGAAACAGTAATAGAAATAATGCAATAGAAATAACATACAAAGTCTCTTCAAAGGTCCAAAGTGGTAGGCAAAAGATTCATTCGTAACGCCATGTATAATACATACTTTTGCAAATTTTGTGACACGAAAAGGAGTGGCCTTTGGGAAAATTTTAAGCATATTTCAATAAACGAGAAAACGTTTAAGGAAAAGTCTTAACCGCGACGTTTTATTCATTATATTCATTATATTCATTATGTTACATTTATTATTTATTTTTCGTTTAGAATATCTAAGGAGATTGATGTTGAAAAATTTTTTCATCTAATCTAATAAAATGTCATCCATCCATCTCGTTTTAAATTTCTTCGAATAATAGATCGAATAATAGATCAAATAATAGATTAAATAATAGATCGTATAAACTTGATACATTGCATTTAAATACAATTTTTTTTATACCAATAAAATTTTTTTTTTTTTATTTATTTAACAAATATATTTTATGTAAGAACGTCGCGTCTAATATGTACAAGTGTAAGAGAGGAGCAAAAAAAGTACAAAGGCACTGAAAAAAATATTACAAGTATTTTTTTTTTTTTTAAAAACATAAGTGCGAACCTAGACTAAGTAGCAAAACGAATCAAGTATCTGTCATTTTTTTTTTTTTTTGTTCTTGTCAAAAGAACAAGATATTGGGAACATATATATGCACAGTAAACGAACACATTGAAAAAAAAAATATTAAAAAGTGAATTCGATCGCATAAATTTGTGACCTGAAAAATCAAAAGAATGATTTAAAGCTAGGAAAAATTTCATCAAGACGGGACACTCGAACTTTTTTTTTTTTTTGTTGAAATAATAACCAAAGTAATAGGGAATGGAATAAAGCATAATAACAATCAAATGAAGAAAAAATAATAAATGAATAAGATCGTAAAAGATAGCATTAGGTGGATATACCAAATTCTGGTGCATCAAAAGAATTCAAATCAATTAATCATGAATTCGAAAGTAAAAAAAAACCAATTGGGGGGGATTTTAGTAACGGTTGCTGTAACCACCACCACCACCATAGCCTCCACCACCACCACCACGACCACGACTGCTACGATATCCGCTGTTTCCACGACTACTGTAACCGCCACCACCACCGCCTCCGCCATAACCACCGGAGCGAGGTGCAGGAGTAGATCGTTCGGAAGCACGGTCAACTAATATCAATTATTGGAAAAAATAAAAATTAGATATTCGAAATGTTTTTTAATTATTAAAAAAAAAAAAATGCAAAGCACAATTACAAACTAACCTTTGATTGTACGTCCATCAAACTCTTGGTCATTTAAATTTTGAATAGCCGCTTCGGCTTCTTCATTACTTTAAAAAAATGAAATTTACAGGAATTAGAAATTTTATACGTAAATTTTAATATAAATTATATATATTTATATGTATAACTTACGATGAGTAGGTAACAAAGCCAAATCCACGGCTTCGACCTTTATTTTCAAAATTCGATAGATCCCGACAAGAAATAACGAACAAAATACGAACATAATTATAAGAGTAGAAGGGAGGATAAAGAAGGATGGTATTGGGGAACAACACATTGAATTATTGGGACATTTATTTCAGAACACACATTTTTTTTTTTTTTTTAGTATCATCCTGTTGGACGAAAATTACACAATCACACGTGTTTAGGGGAAAGGAAGACAAGCGAAAGGTTAGCATCCTTATATTCGCGTTCCATATTTTTTTTGGAAGTTTAGCGAAGGTATCAAGGTTGCTCCCGATAAGCACTTGGCGAACACGCATTCATTTTGAATTTTGACATACCAGTTTCGCGGTCACGAATTACAACAGCATCTTCAACATTACCAAACTCTTCAAACTTTCCTTTTAAAGCACGGTCATCAGTACCCCAGGACAAGCCACCAACGAACAATTTAACGGACATAATTTAAAATACTATTTGGAGGTACTCTACACGAACTTCTGGAACTTTTACTGAAAGAAACGAAGAAGACAGAGGAGGTAAAAAAAAAAAATCGGATTATGGAAAACACACTTATTTAAAACAATTGTTACTGTCCCCTTTTTTTTTTTTTCTTCATTGACTTAGCCCAATTATTACTAATTATGTATTAATCAGCAAGGTTGCATCAACATCTGATCTTGGCTATTAAAATTTACAATTTTCAGATCCATTTCAAGTTAGGCTTTGACTAAAAAATTTTCCCCCCAACAAATGGCAAAAATGCAATACAAATTGTGTGACAAATATATTAATATATTTGATTGATTTAGCCTCAGCCTCAACAATCTTGGTTTAATTAGCTTGATGAATTAAAAAGAATAATACGAAAAATTCAAATTCAAATTTTATTAACTAAATTAGTAAGCAATTCACATGAGATACATAATGACACAAGTTTAAACTCAATTCGGAAAATCATCGTTTTCCGATTTTGGCATTTCGATGAATAGAAATTTCTTTTTTAAATAGAGCGTCGAAGTTATCGAAGTATGATTTATAACTTTATCTGGGCGAATGGGCTCACCATCTCGATCATAGTGAACATAACTGAAAAAAAAAAAATTTTTTTTTTAAAGGTTATGGAAAATAACAATTAAAGATTAACAATAAAAAAAGAATGAATAACAATTAATTAACAATAAAAAAGAATGAAAAACAATTCAAGATTAACAATAAAAAAGAATAATGATTAACAACAAGGATACGGTAAGCGCAATACGATCAAACTGTTTTTTGGCAAGGTAATTCCTTTAAAATATTGGTTATCTTTTTGGAAATTATCCATAGGAGACAAATTAGCATTTTCGTTTGTTTGATCCTGTTTTCAAAAAAAAAAAAAAAATCCCCCCAATTTTTTATATCAGTTGAGAATTATTTTGATTATTTTGATTATTTTTATACGTAAACAGTAGAGACTTAACCTTTATTATAGGATTTAAAGTAATCAATATTGGAGAATCGGGAGTAACTATTATGATACGTTGCAATTGAGCTAATGTTGGTGGATTATTTGTTGAATTACTACATGGGCAATGAATATATATTGGTAGATCTTGTTCTAATAGATTGTTGGCAGTTTCCTAGAATTATAATAATGATAATAATAACAACAATAATAATAATAAAATTAATAAAATTAATGAAATTGTGAAATTTGATGTAAATTATGCCTACTTTTATATGTCCAGCATGACCTAACTTGCAAACTTGACCTTTCCCGCAACTCATAAATCTATGACCAATAGGACATTCGTATTCAACACCAAGATATCCCTTTAATTTTTGTAACTCATTTGAATCTTTTAATATGGGTGTGGCATTATCCGCTATTTTTTCGCGTTCTTTCTTTAAACTATTTTTAATTCCACGTCGATTTCTTCTTTCTTTATTTATATCCCCACTCCTATAGGATTTATTGTCAGATGTGACGGTAGATTCATCGATTTGTATTGGAATTTGTTGAACTTCGCGTATCATTTGGAGACTGTCATTTAAGGAGAACGAAGAAGGAGTCAACCATTGTTGAATTACTAGAAAACAGGAAAATTTTTTATTAAATTTATATATCATTTAATATTTTATATCATTATTTCATTATTTGGGGGGGGGGGGGAATAACACATACTGTCATTTCCTAAAAGTATGGAAATATCACTCTTTGGTTCTTCTCCACTCTTCCCTTTTTGTTTAAAACTCTTTGCTCGAGTTTTCTTTTTATCACCACTAGCTAGATCTATAGTCCATTCATTTTTTGTCATCTCATCTTGAACTTTTTTTATGTTCGTCACCAATGAAATATCCAATGGTAAAAGAAAATTCGTGTTTGTTATAAATCCCTCCCATTTATCAAGACCCGAATTAGAACGATAAAGAGAACCCGAACCAAGCCGTATAAGTGACCACATTGAAGTATTTTTGGTTTTATGTTTGAAAAAAGGAGGAACGAGACATTGATTGCCTTCTGCATCACAACAATTTAAAAATTGAAAGAAATCCACGTTGGCATCCTGTCTTCGATAAATTTTTTAGATTGATTAGAATAATTTCGTGAGTTGTTAAAAAAAAAAAAAAAAATTCAAAAATAAATTATAAGTGAAATGATATTTTACATTTAAATCAAAGGGATCTTCTCTTTCGCTGCGACTTTTTCCACAATTACAAGCATGAAGGGCTTTAAATGAACTTCTATGTTTTATGTTATATTTTGTTCCACTTTCTGTGTCATGATTTAACTAAGATATAAACATTCAAAATATTAAGATTATTTAGAAAATTGTCTAGAAAATTATCTAGAAAATTATTTATATTTGATTTTTCACATTTGAGTAAGCAAACAAGAAAATATACTTACTCCCAAGACACATTCATGACCTGACAAACTTCGTTTATCACATCTTTGTCTTCCATGTTCCCATATGTTATAACATTCTCCCTTTAGCTTTGTAACATAAGTTTGTATACAGGGTCCTCGAGCAGATGACAAATAAAATTGTATAGCATGTTCTAACTAAAATAAAAAATAAGAATCAAATAAGATAAATTTAAATTAAGGTTAAAATATAACTTTTTTTTTTTATTCACCTTAACATCATGATACTGTTTAGAATAATAAGTAGGTGACTCTAATAAATATATATCAATAGCTTTTCTTGAGGATTGAGAACAATGACTGAAAAAAAAAATTAAAAAAAAATTATATAAATTAATTTTCAATAGTTCACATAAACAAAAATCAAAAATCAAATAAAAATAAAAAATAATATTAATACCATATATTTACCTTGCAGAAAATCTATTATTGATTTGTATATAATCTTTTAACCTTCTATTGAGTGTATCTTCCACGTTACTATAATTTTTTCTCTCTAAAATTTCTTTCCCAATATTTCCAAATAATAATTCTTTAAGAGCTACTGAACCAGAAATCCATTGTTTTATGTTTGGTAACTAAAAATTTTTTTTAAAAAAAAAATTAAATAACAATTGTTCATAAAATTTTCACAATTTTTTTACATTTTTTTTTATTTAATCATTGATGATAAAATAAATATCTAAGAGAAATTAACCTCGCTAGGTGTTACACCACGTTTAACAGAAATTCGACCAGTGGTAGCCCATTTAATCCAATTGTGAACAAAATCTTTTAATAATTTAATTTCAAAATTGTCAGCACCCCGTTGATCCATTTTCCTTCTTCGTATTAATGACTCAATGTCAGTCTTATTATTATTATTATTATTATTATCCTGTTTTAATCGTGACTTTGAAATGAGAGAATACGCGGGATTCGGTGATAATAAATTGCCCGTGGAACCACGGGGAATAAGGTGAACAAAAAATTGCGAAGAAGGAGGCGGAAGGATAAAAAGTTGACGACTAATAAAAATAATATTAATTAAAATTAATTAATTAAATTTCTAATATGAAATTAAGAAAAAAAAAAGATTAAATATAATTATATAATTAATATTTACTTATCAAAGGGAGCATGAACATCGCTAGTTTGAACAAGATGGCATGTACGAAATAAGAAACGAATGCGTGCCTGCAAGGCCTCTTTAATCCTTTTAATGCTTCCTGAAGCTACCTATTCACAGGTAAACGTAAATTGTGAGAAAAATTGCTAGCGTCGTACGAGGCGCTCCCGTCTGTATATCAAATTTCGTATCACTCTATGAACCTTATCATGACTAGATTCAGATTTGTTTCCATCTGTTGTTGTTATTGTGGTGGATAATTGGACCTAATAAAAAGAGAGAAAAAAAAATGATAATAAAAATTTATAAAATCCTAAAAAAAAAAAAAAAATCAAAATAATAATAATAATAATATTTTTCACAATTACCTCCAGAAATATGAAAATAAGAAAAGGAACACATCTTCCAGGTGCAATCACACCACCCTGTACACTTCCTGACCGTCCACTATATCCACTAGTAGAAGAAATTGACCCATAAGGAGGAGGTATGTCTAAATGTTGCCAGCAAGAATTCATGAAATTATTTGCATGTGGCATGATATGTCGTTTGACGGAAGATATTGTTTTAAGTAAAGAAATCAAATTTGAATCTAATTTTGATATTGGTTGCGCTAACTAAATAATCAATATTTAAAAAATTAATAATTAAAATATAATTAATATTTAAAATAGAATATAAAAAAAAAAACATTTACCATTACAACATGAGATAATAAAAAAACAAATAAAATCATTCTTAGGTATATGTGTTCGTGTTTCCATATCCAATTTTGAAAATTTTGCTTTATATATTTATTTATTTTAAAAAAAAAAGATGAAAATTTATAATCAGCATTTTGAATATTTTATAAATATTTTAAATATATGAATTTCAATTAAATGAAAATTAATAAATCTTTGATACCTCATTTTCAATAGTAGATTGTGATTCTTCCCACAAATTTAAAAGTGCATCGCTATCGTTAATTGAATCCAGTAATAAATAAACGGAATTTTTTGTTGGATCGCAATAAATCCATAAACCACACTGTTAAATCAGCAATAATACTAATTACAATAATTTTTTAATTTGATAAAAAATTTTCAAAAAAAAAGGAAGGGTGAAAATTTTTACTTTATTCCCGTTATCTATCAATAAAGTCGCGCCATTTGGACGGCAATTACAATTTTTATCACAACAAATTGGCTAAAAATTTTTTAATAAATATCTTATAAATATCTTATAGGCAGAATATCTTACAACAAAATATATGTGGAAAGATCATTACCTGACCAAACACAGCCTTCTCTATTATAGCATTTGCAATGGAACTTACGTTGGATGTTATCCCTCCATTTGTTAGCCCAATGAAAGCGACAACAGAAACGGGTGTGGTTCCTTGAATTCCACATTTTTCATAGAGATCTAAAAATAAACGAACATTGAAATGCTACTATATCAAAAAAAAAAAAAAAACGCGTTCTATTTCTTACCATCAAATTTTTGTTTTAAAATAGTGATCGGAGACTTGTTGCTTTCGTCTTCAGCGCATAGAGTAAACCAATCGTTATTTGAGTCGTTATTTCTTTCGTTTGAATTATTCATAATTCTATATCTATTATATCTATTCTAGAACGTCAAGTGAGTTTTTAAATAGAAAGATTTTCCGAAAAACTTTAATTTCGTTTCGTCCAATCAAACCAAGATATATAAATTATTTAAAATTATCAATCAAGTTTATCGTTCGAAGAGAATTTTTTGAAAACCATGAGAAATTCAGTACACTTTGACACAGAGGACGATTCCCTTTTACATCAACAACCTGGTCTCGATTCGAGCGATGAAGAACATTCTGAAAAGTTCAACAATATAAATGACATGGAAGATCCTTCTGAAAGTTTCCATGAAATTATAAAACAAGGTTTCGTAGACGATGTTGAAGAAATAAAATTAGACAATTTTCATTCCTCCACGAGTGGAACTGCCGAGGCATACCCTGGTTTAAGCAACCAAGATCGATATAATTTTATTTTACTTATTGTTCTTTGTAAGTCTCAAGTTTTATTTTAATTAATATTAAAAATCAACGACAAATGATTATAATCTGAGATCTAATTTTCTATTACAAAACGTGAACTAAAATTTTATAGACTTGCTACAGGGAATTCCAGTAGGGTTGGCATTTGGTTCCATACCCTTTCTACTCAAATCAAGATTATCATATTCACAACTTGGGATTTTTTCTTTCGCCACTTATCCTTATTCTCTTAAATTATTGTGGTCCCCAATTATCGACACTATTTATTGGAAAAAAATTGGTCGTAGAAAGAGTTGGATAATACCTATTCAATTATTATCTGGTGGTCTATTTTTTTGGCTTGGGAAACACGTTGATCAAATGCTTCTTGTGGTATTTATATTATTTATTTATCTTTACAAAAATATAATTCTGTGCTTTCTGTGCTTTAAATATTTGTATGAATGATCCGTCGGATTGATTGATTGATGATCTCCCCGGATTGACGGATTGATCATCCGCGGATCGCAAATTATTGGTTTTAAAAAATTTTTGAATGTTTTCACCATAGGAAAATCCGAATATCTATTCTTTGACATTTATATTTTTTGCTTTAATTTTTTTTTCAGCAACGCAAGGTAAGTAAAAAAACATTTGGATGTATAAAAATTTTATTTTAAGATTAACCAATTATAATTAATTAATTTTCATAATTCGCATCATTTTTTTTTTTTCATATCAAATGAATAAAGACGTGGCAGTTGATGGTAAGCGATTACCCATTAATTTATTATGTTTTTGATGTCAAAATATCTTATTTAACGAATTTATTATTTTTTATTATCAGGATGGGCCCTAACCTTATTATCAAAAAATAATTTATCTTATGCGTCAACGGCACAAACAATTGGATTAAATACCGGATATTTTTTATCGTTTACTGTTTTTCTTGCGTTTAATTCGGCTGATTTCAGGTAATAAAATTAACTGAAAAAACATAATATATATGAAATAAATAAGAAATAAAAGAAAATAAATTCATACTTTTTATTTTATTTATTTTATTTTATTTATTTATTTATTTATTTTTTTTTGAATAGTAATAAATACTTTAGAAGTGAACCGAGTGATCAAGGTATACTTGAACTCGGAAAATATCTTACTTTTTGGTCTTTCATTTATCTCGGAGTGACGATATGGCTGTTGGTTGCCAAAAGCGAGGTACATATGAACATCTTGACTATTTTAATCATTTATATATATTTATTTTCCCATTTATATCATAAAACTTAACTATTTTTAAATTGTCTTTATTTTTTGATTGTCAATCTAAGGAGGATTCTTCACATAACGGTGATCATAACATGGAGATTAAAACTGTTTATAAAACGATTTGGAAAATTTGTAAAATGCCACGTAAGAATATAGAATTATTTTTACCATTAAAAATAAAGAGTATTTAAAATAAAGTATTAAAATAAAGTATTAAATAGAGTATTAAATAGTTATTAATTATATTTCTTTTTCTTTTTTTTGTTTTTTTTTTTATAGATATGCGTAAACTCATTATGATACTTCTGGTGGCAAAAATAGGATTTATTGCTAATGAAACTGTTACAGGACTTAAACTTTTGGAATTTGGTTTTAGTAAAGAAGATTTGGCGTTAGCCGTGTTAATCGATTTCCCTGTACAAATTGTTGTTGGTTATTTTGCCGCAAGATTGAGTACTGGGGCACAACCATTAAAGCCAGTACGTTATTTTATTTTATTTTTCCAACCGATTTAAAATAAAAAAATTTTTTTTTTTTATCGAATTCACTAAAAAAAAAATTTCACATTAATATTTTCAGTGGATATACGCTTTTTATGGGCGTCTATTTTTTGCCTTGGTTGGAATCTTCGTTGTATACTCCTTTCCTTCCAATAAGGAAAACTCTAGGGTATTTTTCATTTCCGTAATCGTTTACACCATATTGAGCTCTTTTATGAGGTATTTCTATTTTTGTTCGATGATAATTTTTATCCTTTATAGGATATGTCATATTGTATATTGATTAAATTTAATGTAGATACAGATAATAATGATGGCTTTATTCGAATCAGCACTGTTCAATTCGTTAGTATTTCTGCGTTTATGGCCTTAATTGCAGATCCCGTAATTGGTGGAACTTATATGACTGTAAGTTTGAGTATAAATTGTTAAAAAAAAATATGAGTTGCCAAAATGTGTATTTTTAATTAGCTTTTTTAATTATGAAAAAATTATAATAATAATACTAATTCAATTTTTTTGGGGGGGGGGGGGTATTCAAAGCTTTTGGCAACCTTTAGTAATTTTGGTGGAACTTGGCCACGTTTTTTTGTCTTGGAAGCAGTCGATTACTTCACTATTGCCACGTGTCGTCATAATCAGGAAAATTCGAGTGAGATTCCTAATGATCGTAAGTAGAATGGATTATTATTATTATTATTATTTATTATTATTTTGATAGTTATTTACTCGAAATTTGGTATTTAGCTTTTTCATGTGTTACCGAACTGGAAAAGTCTTTATGCAATGAACGAGGTGGTACGTGTGTAGTTGAACGCGATGGTTATTATATTGCCTCTGTCGCGTGTATAGTCATTGGTACCATCTTCTTTATGTTCATTTTACCTCAAATTAAAAAGTTACAATGTAAGTTTTTTTTTTTTTTTTTCTTTTCTCTTTTACATATTACACGCTTTTTTTAAAAAATTATTTATTCTTTTTTTTTTTAATGATAGCAATGCCTCCAAAAGTTTGGAAGCTTAGAATGGATCGTTAAAGATTATTTATTTGTTATTTATTATTTTTTTTTTATTTATATATACATTTATCTTGTAATTGAGAGTTTAAGTAATTGTATTTATTATGAAAAGTAATAAATTAATCCACGTTATAATAAAATAACAAAAATTAATTGAATTGTAATAAATCAATCAATTATAATTAAATCTATTAAATTTCTTTTGTTTTGTTTGATTATTTATTATCGTTAGGTCAATATAAATTATTTGTATACATTAAAATGTAATATAAAATCTTTATCACATTAAAATGTAATATAAAATCTTTATCTACATTTTCTTTATTTTAAAATAAAGTACAGTCGCGTCGCAAAATAATGCCGATTTCTATATTATGTACATAAAGTTTTTTTTTTTATAACTAATACTTCATTTGCATCCAATGCTGTTTCAATTATTTGTGGCATTTGAGTCCAAAGAATTGATACATTAAACTTGATCACTCTTCACTCAAAGCAGTTTTCTATGGGAGAATTTGCTGGCCAGTCTTAATTTTTTTTTTTTTTTTTGTGGATTGAAACACCAGTTTTGGATGTTATTTTAACCATAAAAATCATTATATAACATTTATACGTTCATAAAAAAAAATAAATGGATGAGAAAAAAACCACAAAAAAAAAAAAAAAAAAAAAAAAAAAAGAAAAAAAAAGGGGAATCAGTTGTATATTGTTGCGACGCGACTGTACTTTAAACTTTACATTTTATTTTTTTTTTCCCAAATAAAGGAATAAATGTTAACCTTATTACTTATTTGCTTATTGAGTGTATGCCCCAAGAAATTACATAATACAAATATATTTACAAAAAAAAAAATTGTCTTCCAATTTTATGCTTGATCGTTCGGCTTTTCGCGTGTTACTTTATTACCTAAAGTTAAAAAAAAGAAAAAGAACATGCACTGCAGTCCTTTTGTATTTTGTATTTTGTATTTTTTTTTTTTTTTAAAAAAAAAATAATAATAATAATAAAGTTAATAGTCGTACCTGTTTATCCTTGTTCCAACATTTGGGTTTCGTTTGTTTCGTAACTATAATAAACAAAATAAACCTTAAAAGTTTATATTTACCCTTTACAGGAAAGCGGGAAAAGCTTTACATCGGTGATTTGCGTTGCGTTGCGTTTGTGCCTACATTTAATAATAATTCGAAAGTTTAAATTTCAAAGTTTTGTTTAAGTTATCGAAATATTTTAGTTGATGATGTAACAAAAAATGACAAAAATGCTAAATTTTAAATTTGTGTAACGTCTGGTGATTTTTATGATTTTAATAAATAAATAAAAAGAACGAATGTTCTGATTTTCAAAAAAATGGCTGAAAAAACAATTCATGATGATTTTATGCGGAGAGCTTTAACGCTTGCAAGTATTTCCAGAAAAGTTTTAATTTTTATAATGTTTGTTTATTTTAATTCTTTATAATATTTGTTTATTTTAATATTTTAATTTAATTATTTTACTTTGTCTCTCTCTCTTTTTTTTGTTTTTGTTTTTGTTTTTGTTTTGTATCATGAATAATAAATATATAGGCCCAAGAAGCATATGATAATTATGAAGTTCCCGTTGGGTGTATTTTTGTACTTGATGATGATGATGATAATGAAAGAAAAATTATTGGTAGTGGACGAAATAGAACTAATGAGACAAAGAATGTAAACAAAGATATTGAATCTATTGAATTGAATTTATTTAAATTAAATTTATTAAATTGAATCAATTGAATTGAATCTATTGAATTGAATTTTAGGGAATAAGGCACGCAGAATTAGAAGCAATTGATGAAATATTTGCATCACAAAAATATACTAGTGATGTTTTTCAAAAATGTTCTCTTTATGTCACTGTTGAACCCTGTGTCATGTGTGCTTATGCTCTGAGGCAATTAAGTAAGTCTTGAAATTTATTGTAAAAAAAAAAATAAATAAATAAAGTAACATTTTATTGATTTGATTAATGGATTTTTTTTTTTTTTATTTTAGGAATAAAAAAAGTTTATTATGGGTGTACGAATGAAAGATTTGGAGGAACCGGTTCTGTATTTCAAATTAATCAAGAGTAAATTATTTATTTATTTATTTATTTATTTATTTCATTATTTTCATTACTTATAAAATTTTTTTTTTATAAAATTTTTTTTTAATAATGACATAAAGTCCAAAGTTAATGCTTCATCCACCATACCCATGTGAGGGTGGATATTATCGAGAGGATGCCATAATTTTATTGAGGAAATTTTATGTTAGAGAAAATGGGAAAGGTAAATTATCATTTTTATTCTTCTTTATTTTTTATTATATATATAATATATATATATATTAAATTTATTAACTTTCAAAAAAAAAAAATAAATAAATAAAAAATGTATAAAATATAGCACCACAACCAAAAAGGAAACATCAAAGGGTTTTGAAGACTGAAATAAAAACAAAATAAATAAATAGAAACCAATAAAAAAAAATAAACCAAAATAAATCAAAATAAAAACAAAATAATATAATATATTTAATATAATTTAATTACAATATTTGTACATTTTGCAAGCCCCCGCGCTGTCTCTACCTTAATTTTTGTCCAAACATTTGGTGCCCTTGAAGACTGAATATATCCAATTATTATTATACTGTTTATTTAAAATTATTTTTTTATAACATTCGAAATCAATATACAAATATTATATATATATATATTATAATATTTATATTAATATTTATATTAATATTTATATTAATATTTATATGAAAAAAAAAATAAAATAAAAATACAAACTTTTATTATTTAATAGATTATAATGATTATAATATTAGATAAATAAAAAATCAAAATACATTACTCGTATTTACGAATGACATCATTTTGAGTGTTGCTTGAATGTAAACCGGCTCGTGTAACCTTTTGTGACCAATGCACAAAAATACATTGAGTGAAACTTAATCAGATAAAAATATAATGACAATAATGAATGTACATTAAATAATTGTTCACATTTATCTACATTATTCACTTTACTCATTTTACTCATTGAATCACAGCAATACATACTGGTGTTAATAACATGTGCCCATTGTTCATTGTGTTATTATTGAAGTTTCTTTTTCACTTTGTTAGAAATTTTTTTTTTTTTTTGTAAATAAAAATAAATAATAAACAAATTTATTTGAATGAAAAAAAGATATTTTTTTAAAATCATATAAAAAACACTTTGCATATTTCTATTGGTTTTAAGTTTAAAATAACTTTAGATTATTATCTAAACACGTGATAAAACATGAAGAAGATTTTAAAGATAAAATATATATACATCCGATTGATTTTTCCTTTAATGTTCTTTATTGCCTTTTTGGTGAATGCATATACTTTCGTTGGCGTAAGAAAAAAAAAATTGAAAAAATATAAATTTAGTAAATAATAAAAGAACCGAGTCTCCTGACATTTTTATGTTTATTTTGTATTGCATTCATTCATTTAACCATAAATATGAAAAATGATAAATAATAAATAATAATGGTAGTTAATATGGTTGGATTTGTTAGATAAAGGAAAAAAGAGAAAAGGAAAGGTGAAATTGGGTTTCATGAAATTTTCTATAACGATAAAATCGAAAAGAGAAAAAAAAACGAAAAAATAAAGCGTGAAATTACTAATCAGATCTATCTTAGCCTTTGACAAACAAAAAGTAAATCCATGTTCTTAAAATAGTCATTCATTAATTCATCACAAATATGGAATAACCCCTTAAATAACAATATTTCTCCTTGAAAAAATAATAAAATTTTAAATAAATACTATTACGATTATGATTATGATTTATAGTAATTTAATGAAGTCCCTTTAAGCGATCATAATCATATCAAGAAATTCAATTTAGTAATTTTGTTAAAAGTTTTTTTACCGCTTTTTTTTTTTTTTAATAATTTTAATTTATTATAAATTTAATTTACTAATTAATTAATTCTTTAATTTACAAATTTTTATTATTTAAATTCTCTTATTATTGAACTATTAACTATTTATAAAAAGAAACATATACTACATTATAAGGAATACTAATTAAAATATCCATATTGAAAATTATTTATCTCATTTAAAATAAGAATATCAAATGAAAAAAAAAAAAATTCAATATTGCTTTGATCACTGATATACTAAAGTTGTTGCAACCTTGCATCTGCATATTCGGTATCCTTATTAAACTCTCCCAATGTATATAGATAAATATATATAGCACTTAATTTTTTACTTAGTTTTTTTTGCGTTCTTCGATTTTTTTTTTCTTTCCTATGAAAAAAATTTTTTTTTTTTTACTTATTGTTCTTTAGTCTAAATTATTTATATATTACATTATTATTTTTTTTTTTATTTTTTTTATTGTTTTAATGAATTTATTTGCAAAACTTGCAGAAAACACAAAAATAACTACTCTCACTACCCATTGACGACTTACTTCACGCATAACGATTTCCCTTGGCACATAATAAATTCACTTTACCTACTAATAAATCCACTTTACCTACTAATAAATCCACTTTACCTACTAATAAATCCCACTTTACTTACTAATAAATCCACTTTACCTAATAATTTACTTCGCATACACAACCATTTCATTCATAATAAATTCATTATTCCGCTTGAGAATAGAAAAATTAAAAAAGTACAACATCATTCTACATCATTACACGTATTTAATTATCCCTTCCCTTCATTAATAATAAAATAATAATAATAATAATAATAATAATAATAATAAATAATTAAATAAATAAATAAATAAATAAATAAATACATAGATAATAATAAATAAGTAAATAATAGCAAGATTTGAATTCTAATTGTTATTATGGAACATTCACCAAGTTCTCCCTCCAATGATTATAATGACCGAAACACGGGTCGGTGGTCGAATAATGTAATTATAATAATATTATTATTTTATAATTATTTATAAAGTAATTTGATAGATTTTAAAATTATAAAAATCAAAAACAAAAATGTTTGTTAAATATTGATTAAATGTTGGATAAGATTATGTAAACAATAATAATAATAATAATAATAATTAATAACCTTTATTTTTCGAAATATATTTTTTCATAGGAAAAAGACCATCTTGAAAGATTAGTTAAAAGACACGGAAAAGATTGGAATCGAATTGCTGTATCTTTCCCAAGTCGCAGTGCTCGGCAAATACGCGAGCAGTAAGTAGTAAATTTTACATCTTATCTTTTTTACTGATAATAATTAATATATATATATATATTTTTAGTTATTTTATATCTAATTAGTTTTAATTCTTCTTTTTTTTTTTTTTTTTTAAAAAAAAAACAGTTATCAAAATCATCAAAATCCTGAGAGTGAGTATTCAAACATAAATACATATAAAATAATAATAGATATTAAATAATAATTATAAATATTAAATATTCATCATAATAAAATTTTAGTTAATAGACGAAGAATAACAAAAGCCGAATCGGAATATATCTTAACATTGCATGAGTTATTTGGATCTCAATGGGTAAAAATAGCCAGCTGTTTGGAACAAAGATTTCATGGAAGATATACAGGTGTAATGATAAGAAATCATTGGAATAATTATAAAAGAAGAAAACTTCGTCTTCAGATATCTTCCTCATCTTCACGTGGTACGAGTAAATTTATTTTTTATTCCTTATGTTCATTTATGTATTTTATGTTTATACATATTATTATATATCAATAATATTATTCAATATATTCACAATAATTTTTCTTTCTTTTACAATAATCTTTTAAATTTCAAAAGTTCAGAACAATTCCATCATCCCTTCAATTAACGTAAATGATACAGAAGGCGTTGAACAAATTAGGGAAAAAATGGCTATAAGCGCTATATTAAATCCTATAGATCCTAATTATATGAATTAAAATATATTACAATATATATATGTAAATATATGCGCGCATACACGGGAGTATATGTATAACTATAACATAACACGTTATATACACGCTCTATACATGCTCTATACACGCTCTATACACAGATATAAATATAGTATATAACGCATTTTTACTTCATTGTGTTTATAATATATTGAGGGTTAGTTAAAATGAGGATATTATTATCATTGTTGTAAAAAAAAGGAATTTATTAGTAGCCATTTCATTTTTTTTTTTTTTTAAAAAAAAAAATAAAGTTTTCGCCGGCGTTTACTTTCTTTAACTCTCGTTACTCTCACTGCTCATTTTTTTTTTTCTTACATTATTCTCTATTATTCTATTAAACTAACTAAATTTAAATTTGAAGGTTACACAAATGATTTATAAAATAACGCGTTTTCTTTAGGTTCGGATACCCACGCTCGTGCAGAACGCATAATCTTCATATCTAAAAAAAAAATTTTTGCATTTCCATACTTCTTTTATCATTATTGTTTTTGATAATGTTATGTGAATTTTACCCTTTGATGATTTCTGTAAAATAAATTTTGACACATTTCACTTTAAACGAAAATCAAATTATGTAATAAGAATAATCATCAAGAAATTACCATTTCTCGATTCTTTTTTTTTTTTGCATTTTACTAATTTGGAGAATTCGGATGTAAACATATTTTCGGTATAATCCGTGATTTGTATAAAAATTATAAAAAAATACACAATTATAGTATACCATTATCTAAATATTGTGACAGTTAATTTAATTAAATTGTTTATTTAAATGAAAAAAAAATTAAAGTTTCATTCAAAATTACGTAAAGTATATTGCAAAAAAAAAAAAATAAAAAAATATAAATAGAGTTCTCTTTATGATATTTTCACTAAAGATTGTCTAGTTAAAGATTGTCATGTCAATTATAAAATAGAAAAAAAAAAAGTTCAATATTTTTCCCACGTTTTCTTTATCGTTATCTCAACTATATTTATCAATCGTATTATATTAAATATAATTATTTTAATAGAAATTATCTAAATGGTTGGGATACTTTCATATGTGAAAATCGGATCAAGATATAATTATTGAAATGAAATCGAATGGTAATACTTTTATATTTTTTATTTTTTATTTTTTTTTTTCGAAAAAAAGAAATTAAAAAGGTTTAGACGTTTATCACTGACATTTTGAATTTTAAAGAAAAAACTCTTTAAAAAAAAAGAAAAATAGTTATTGGTTTAGACAATCTAAGATAATTTTAGATTGTAACATATGAATTCTTTTTTTTTTTTAACGTAGGTAATATATATAATATATGTATGTTAGGGTATGGTATGCCCTTTAACGACTAAAAATGATTGATGCCCCAGTTAAAAAAAAAAAAAAAAAAAAAATGTAGCTCATGCAGAGATTGTGTTTTACTAATTCATTTAAATCATTTAAATCCAAAAATAACAATTGGTTCAAAAGGAGGAAATGTTTTATACATCGTTGAATGAATTTGGGAAAGGTATCGTTCATATTCGATTTTTTTTTATTCTATTCACCAAATGTCATTTAATAAAACAAGTTATTATAAATATTGTATTGGTTGTATTTGATAATAATGTTAAAATGAAATGAAAATAATGTAAACAAAAAATAAATAAATAATAAATGAAAATAATAATAATAATAAATGAAAATAATAATAATAATAAATGAAAATAATAATAATAATAAATGAAAATAATAATAAATGAAAAAAATAAAATAAAATCAATAAATGGAATAATAAATGGCATAGACAGTCAAAACACAATATTAATTATTTGAACATTCAAATTACCGATTTAATATTTTTTTTTTTTTTAAGTAAATCAGTAATAAAAATAGTAATAATAATGATGGTTTGTATAATATCATGTGGATGAATATATCATATGACAAATCCCAAAAGTTTCAGATTTTTATAGATTTTATACAGGGAGAAAAAAAACCTAAACCCTAAAGAATACTGCACATATTCATACACACACATATCGGAAAACTATTTCCTTAGTACATTCAGACATTCGGTGTTCAATTAAAAATACATTTTATAACAATGTCCGTAATCCCTGTATTGAAATCACGCGTCTTAATAGAAACAAGATTGTGTTTCAAAAATAGTGACACTTAAAAATAATTAATTTTTTTTTTTTTTTCATTTATTTATTGCAAAAAAAACAAAGTACAAGTACAAATACAAATAAAATAAAATAAAAAAAAAGTATTGTATGATCATAATGAAAAAAAAAATAAATGCAAAATATAAAGAAAATAAAGAAATTATCAATTGATTCGAACTATTGATTCGAACTATTAAATTTGAATCTAAATTGAATTGAAAAATGAAAATATATGTAAAATATATAATAAAAAAACATAAAAATATATATAATATATAAAAAAGAAAAAAAAATAAAATAAAGGAAACCAATATCTGATATATGTAAATAATATATATATATATATATGTACAATAATTTATATATCCTCGAAATCCCATTTACTTAATAATCATTATGATAATAATAATAATTAAAAGTAAGAAAGGAAGGTCGAAAAAATACATAAATAAAAATTTTTATAAATTTTTTACTCACATAAAAATTCTAATATAAATTAAAAGGAAGGACAAGTTATATCAAACCAAAAAATAAAATAAAAATAAAAATAAGATAATTCAAGGAACAGAAGAAAAATATATAAAATAAAATATATACAAAAAAAAAATATATATATAGATCTACATATATATATAATTAATTTTTCTTCCGTCATTTCTATTATCCTATCCATCACTATCGTCATCATAACCAATTATAAACAATTCTTCCCAAGGAAATTTTCACCTAACTCTTTGCCCAAAAATAAAAAAAAAGAATCCCATATATAAAAATATAACGAGAATCTAATAATAATATAATAATAAAATAATATAATATGTTAATAATATCTTATAATAATAAACGATAATGATAATCTAATATGAATAAAAAAAAAGAAAGAAATATACAATTTAAGTACGAAAGTTGAAATGGGATGAAGTTGAAAATGGAATGAAATTGAAATTGAAATGGAAATGGAAATGGGAAAACAAAAGAAATGCATTAATGCATCGCAGAATTTATTATAAAAAGAAATGGATCTAATATATTAAAATGAATGCATTAAATGATTTGAGTGAATTTGTATGTTTTAATATGGTTTGTAAAAAGAGGAAAACGTGATAATGTATAAACAAGATTATTCTCGTTCTATGTTTCTTTGTTATTGTTGTTATTGTTATTGTTGTTGTTGATGTCGTCGTCGTTCTGATAGAAATGAATTGATTTCAAAAGAATTTTTAATTAATTAATTAATTAATTAATTAATAAATTCTTTTGGAAACCTAAACTTCTCAATATATTTGTTTTTTTTTTCTCGCAATTTTTATTAATATATTATAATATACCTAAGACTTTGATATGTACCTAAAATTTGTAGTAAAAAAAAAAAAAAAAAACAAAAAGCTTGTAGTAAAAGTAACTTGCAATAAAGGGGATACTAAAAATAATAATCCTTTCTTTAATTGTAAAAAAAATCTTTGTAATATATAAAATATATTTCAATATATCTTTTTTCAAGAAATTTAAGGAATATTTAAAGGATTTATGAAGATTATAATAAAGTATAATGAAGATTATAAAATAGATTATAATGAAGATTATAATATAGATTATAATTATGAATGAAAATTATGATGACGACTTGTTGTTGGTGTTAAGTAAAAAAGAAATTCGTAAAAATTTGGATTTATTTGATTTATTAGAACCGGAAGATTTGTTTGAACTTGTAGATTTGTTCGAATTCGTAGAACGAATGGAACTAATTGACATCATACTACAAATTGTACTAACGCGAGAAGGAAGACCGAGAAAACCTAAATAATCATAATAATTATAATTATAATTATAATAAATAATAATAATATTTTTAAAACATAGAATCTTTAAATAATAAAAAAAATAAAAATAATAAAAATAATAAATAAATAAATTACCAGATGGCTTCTCGTAAGAAGTAGTACTACTGGCCCTACTGCTATTATTACTATTACTGTAGTTACTACTATTACTACTGTTACTGCTACTACTACTACTACTACTACTGCTATTATTATTAATATCATTATAATTGTTATTAAAATTCATCACTTTGTTGGAATTATTAATACTGCTATTTGTCATTCTATTTCCGTTTTTACCCCTCCTTTTGAGTCTATTGTTCCAGAAATTTTTGACCATTAATGGCGTAGCATTCTCCAATTTTGAAGCGATTCTTGCCCATTTGAATTTATGTTTGGCAAATTCGGTTTCAATTATATGAATTTCATCTTTGGTAAATGTTCTTTTTACGACTAAAAAATAATAAAGTTATTTCATTAATTAATTAATTATTATTATTATTATTATCGTCGTCGTCAATGATTTCACATAAAATAATTTAATAAAATATGATAAATACTAATTGGATTTATATGATTAGACCAACGTTCCCTTATTTGTTTGGCTGTTCGTTTTCCACTAAATCTTTCTTCTATCGCGGCCCAATTAGGATTTTCGGGATTTGGTTCTTCATCAACGCATTGTTGTAACAAATCTGTCTCCTGAGAAGAATATGATAATAATAATAATAATAATAATAATAATAATAATAATAATAATAATAATAAGAGAAATGTTCATGAGAAAATTACATTAAAATGCATTCAAAATTATATTAGAATATTTCATAAAATGTAATAAAATAATAAAATAATAAAATATCATATATTCAATCATATTTATTCTAAATATTCTAAATGTAAATCTACCGCAGTAATAGAATATTGAAAAAATATTTAAAGAATAGAAAGAATAAAGGAATAGGTGATTATATAAAATACAATTACAAAGTTAAAAAAAAAAAGGATCAACCTACTTCTGGTGTCCATCTGCCCTTCTTAGGTTTCATAAACTGTTCGAATCCCATATTAAACAACCTAACCAAAAGGAAAGGGAAGGGAAGAAGAGAAAGGGAAGGAAAAGGGAAGGGAAGGAAGGGAAGAAGAAAAAGGAAGGAAGGAAGGAAGGAAGGAAGGAAAATAGAAGGAAGGAAAATAGAAGGAAGGAAAATAGAAGAAAGGAAAAGAACAATAAAATAGTAGAAGTGATAAGGAAAAAAAAGAAAGATAAAATAATAATTATTATTATTATTATTGTATTGAGTGTAGTTGAAAATATAAAATTATGAATATAAAGATAATAATAATAAAATAATAATAATAATAATAAAGAATAAAATAAAAATATATAGATATAATATTTTTTTTTTACAAGATTAAAAGATTAGTTGACGGAGGTGTGAGATTTTACGATAGTAACAATAAAAAGTGCTTAAAAAAAGATTGAGGAGTTAAACGAACGTTTTTATATAAAATTACAGATATCAAGATTATTATTTATATGATAATAATAAATACATATATCTTATTTTTTTATAATTATTTATTATTAAACCCAGTATCAAACGTTAAGACGCATCTATCTTTCTTTGTATCCCAATAAATAAAAAATGTGTCTGGACACAAAATGTTGAATGCGTGAATAAAAAACAATTTTTTCCCGTCTTTTTCTTACAATTTTTTTTTTTTTTCACAAAGTTATGTATCACGAGAAGCTCGTGACTTTCCGTAGTATCGTAGTATCACGAAACTTTATAATCAAGAATTTAAATATTGTTAAATGTTGTAAATATTGTCAAATATTGTATATGTAATGTTATCTTGTGAAAAAAATTCATTAATTATACTTCCATATTTATATATATTATAGTATCATCTTCATATCTTTTTTTTTATATTCTCCGAATTCTTCGGATTTCATTAAATATTCACTTTCGAATTGAGTAGTACACGAATATATTTATAAATTTTCTCTTGGCAATCTCATGCATATTTAATAATATTAATAATATTGAATTTAGATAACAATTTTGTATAACCATATTAATAATAATTCAAATTACTTCTACACAATTTTGATCATTTTTAAATTTGATTACTAATATTCAGCTTATCTTCAAACAATCAGTTACCCCCGTTTTTGCGTTTTGCTCGGAGCTTAAATTCATTAAATAGTGGGGTAATTTTTTCATGTTATAAAATAATTATTATTTTTTTTTTAAAAAACAACTTTATTATTATTATTATTATTATTATTATTATTATTATCAATTTTTCTTTAAAAAAAATAATTGTAATTGTATTTATAATAAACGTAATCAATGTTACGTACATCACATGGAAAAATCGATGCAAAGCAAAGCTTTGTTTATTGTCATGATCTAGTCATGTTATTAGCGATCAAGATTCATATATTTTAAATACTTTTCGACATGTGAATGACTAAAAAAAAATAAACACAATATTTTAAAAATGACTCTTTTTAGAGGGTTTAATATAATAATATCGATCATGTGTTTAATTAATTCTTTTAGGAACGAAATGAAGGAATTCTCCAAATTTTTTCTATTTAATAAGACTTTTGTTCTCGATACTTTCGCATGTGAACCCAAAAAAATACATAATACAATGGCTTGCAGACAATAATTTAATTTGCGCGGAATTATCTAATTTTAAAACATGGCCAAATCTTTGGTCATTTGATTATCTCTTTTTAGACTTGGATGTAGTAATATGATCATATGTTTTGATTCTTTGATAAGAACGAACGAATTCTTTTCTTTTTTTTTTTTTTTTATGTTAAAAATTTTTCTATTTAATAAGACTCATGTGTTTTAGTAATTTTCTTTGTTTCTAAATTCTTTTGTATTTTTATATGTAAACAATAATTTCATTTTCGCGTTTTCAAATTCTTTTTTCATCAAAATAAAGATCTTATGATCTGAATTATCGTTTTTTTAGACTTAGCCGAAGGTTGGATATAGTAATTTGATCATGAGATTCTTAAATTCTTTGGAAATGAACAAATGAACGAAAGAATTCCTTTCCACTTTTTTAAAAAAAAAAAAATTTTTTTTTTTCACCCTCGCCTTGTTCTCCCAAAATCTCCTGAAAAATAAATAAATCTCAATTGTTATTGTATATTGTATGATCGCATGATCATTTGCAACAACCCTTTTATAATATAGGTAAATAATAATATTTTTTTTTCAAAAATTTTTTCCATCCTCACCTTGTTAATTATTCTTCTCTCAAAATCACCTGAAAAAATAAATAAAATCTCAATTTGTTATTGTATGTTGTATAACAATGAAATAATGTAAATATGATCACATGATCTTTTGTAACAACCCTTTTAGAATTATAGGTAAATAATAATATTTTTTTTCAAAATAATCATCTTAATTTGGACAAAAGTTATTATATGAATTAAATTTCATTACTGAATTATTCCAATAGTTAATGAAAAAAAAAATTGATCACCTATTTTTGTTTTTAATTTCTTTAAATCAACATATTGTTTAGTGTTACTGTAACATATACTCGTGACAATTATTTACATTATATTTACCACCAAAAAAAAAAAAAGAAAAGAAAAATTAAATCAAAATTAAATGAAATTTATTAAAACTTATTAGCATTAATTTTGCTTTCTGATATTTAATATTGAGTAGTGTAAAAACTCTAATTCTTGAATAAATGCTACAGTAAATATATATACAGTTAGAGATACAGTAGAGATACATTAATATACAGTAAATTCATTGTCATTGTAGTTCACTGTCCAAAAATACTGTGTGCGACTTCGGGGTTTGCCCTCACATAAATTTTTTCATTTATAATTAATATTTCTAAATCTTTATGATCATTTAAAAATACCAAAATTTCCATTGGGCAATTCATAAATAAATGTAGAAATAATACAAATTTATAGTATTTTTTTTGATAAATTTCCTAAGGGAAAACAATGCATGATGTTCTATAATGAATTTCTTAAAGTATCGCATTATAAGAACGTGGTCATCGTACTCAAAGTCATGTTATTGTTTTTGTTTTTGTTTTTAAAGAAATGTGAATGGAGAAACAAAAATTTAAACAAGTTTTATGACTTGAATTTATTTATTTAATTTTCCAAAAAAGGGTATTAGTGAATGACTTAATTTAATTTCAAGAATGATTTAATAAAAATGGGAATGGATCTTTCGTATATAAATATCTTCTAATTCCTCCCAAGCTTGGATATCCGTCCCGTCTAGTTCTAAAAAAAAAAGAAATTCTGAAACCATGTCTCAATTCGATAACTTTCCAAAGAACCAACCTCAATCTATGCAGATGGATGTGGTTTGTTCTCCAGAATTTCACGATCTGCACGCGCTTTTAATAATTTATTTTAATAATTTATTTTAATAACAATTTATTTTAATAATAATTTATTTTAATAATTTATTTAGGATGTGGATAAAATGAAAACCATTATTGGTGAATCCGGAAAATCCGAAATAAACTTTAAAGAGGATATATGGACACACTTTACTAAAGACGGTGAAGACAAAGGGATTGTACATAGAAGAACTTTACAGAAGAAGTAAAATAATAATTCTTTCTTTTTGTCAAATTATTTTTGTAAATATTTAAAATCTTTATCTTAATTAATTAATATTTAATTTTTAGATGTAGACAAGTGGTAAAAAGTCATTATCCATACGGTAATACTAAAACAAAATAAATAAAAAAATTCAAAAAATAATTCATATGATATCTATACTAAAATAATACTATTTATTTACCTTTAGTAAAATTGGTCATTAGTCGGCATTGGACAGATAAAGTACGTATTATATAAATGACGCTTTGATCGTTGATCGAATCGCTAAATTAATTATAATATTGATTTATTTAGGAGGAAAAGATACTGAAAAATATTTTGGATAAAATGGGAGAAATGGATAAGATAACATCCGAAATAGATTGGAAGGGTGTACATTCACAATTTATCGAGAAAGTAGGCAGATTTGACAGAGATAAAAAAGCGTTACAAGAAAGGTAAGAAATTTTAATATTCTTTCATGTCAAATTATTATCTTAACTCTTTATTTTATTAATTATATTAATTAATGGGTTATTAATTCTTTTAGATACAGAAATTACATATATCATAAAGGTATGTTTAAATTCCAATTAATAAGTAAATAAATAAAAAAAAAATTATTATTTATACTAAAATAATATTGATTATTTGATATTTGTAGTACGTTTGCCCGGTGATCGAAAAAAACCTGTCTTTACAGAAGACCAAATCAAGTCAATAATTTATTATAGAGAAAAAAAAGAAATCGGCTGGAAAGAAATATCCGATAAGCTTAACGATTCGATTGATAGGCAAAATGAGGTTAACAAAGCGATTGATAAGAATATTGAGCTCATCCCCCACTGTACGGCAGGTCAAATTAAAAATAAATATAGTACCGAAATAAAAAAAGGTAAATTTTGTTATCGATTTACATTGGCTTAATAAAGGTAAATAATATTTAGTTCTAACCTAACCTATAATTTTAGGATTGTATGCACTAGCGAAAGCTGCCGAACTCGTTGAAATTGAAAAAAAATTAGAGAAAATGAATGTCAATTATATAACTATATAACCAATAATGTCGTTAACTTTATTTCCTATAATATGTAATATTTACCAATAGTTATTTAATAGTTATGAATAACAATAGGCTGCGCCTGTTATGATTACCTTTAAGATAAATACTAAGATTTAGATTTTTTATTTTTTATTTTTACTTTTTAATTTTTAATAAAATAATGTAATTAATGTAAATTAATATAATTAATCGCTTTTAAATGACAAATCACGCTGTGTAAATGTATGACCAAAACATATATTTTTTTGTCTTTTCCGCTTTTAGTAATCCATCAAACAGGACTGTGTGAATGACTTTTCGTGAAAGCACAGTGTTGCGTGTTATATTCATTTCTTTTATATATATAGCTTGTGTTTTAGGTAACACGAAATTTATTATTATGGAAAATCAATTTTTTTGTAATGAATAATTATAACATATATAATATTTGTGTTATCGGCATACATTCAATAATAAAAAATAAAGAATTTGATTTTAAAATTAAGCTTATCACTATGTTTGAGTGGGCTAGTGTAAATTGTATCAGGTGCGTTTGTTATGATATTTTTATTCACGACGAAATATATACATCAAATTCTTAACAGATTTATCATGGGAGTAGACACGAAAACGAATTAATAAATCATATACAAATAAATAATAAATATAAACTTGTTATGTGTTTTTTTTTTTCTGTGTACGTGTGTTTCGGAGTAAACAGAATAAATAGAACATAACATAAAATTATTGTTTCAACTTTGGAAACAGTACATCCTTATTTTTGATTTTAAACATCATTTCAGATCCATTTTTTACTGATGGCCAACCATTTCCCATAACAGCATCACTCCATTTTCTTTCATCTTTTCCAATACTAAGATTATCTAATAACGTGGACATTTTAGTTGGCATTATTGGTTGAAGCAATATACCAGAAATACGAGCAGTCTCTGCAGCAAAGAATAAGGTTCGATTTAAAAGTTCACGGTTTTGAGGTGAACTATCGAGGGAATCAACAAGATTCCATGGTTCATAAGATTGAAAGAGTTTATTTACCTTTTTTTTTTTTTTTAAAAAAAAAAAAAAGATAACAGTTATGAAGTTTCGGAAATTTCAGAAAATACAATTTTTAATAATTTTAATAAATAATTGAAATCTGTTACCTCTGAGATAGCTTCAAAAATACATATCAAACCTTTATTAAATTCAAAATTTTCAAAATGGTTTCCTACCAGACCTTTAAAATTATAAATTAATTTCATAAAAATAAATAAAAATAATTCAATAATAACTAGTCTACTCTACAACTGATCTACAAGGATTACCTGGTAAATTCTTTAATGAGTTAGTCAAATTAACATCTTTTTCTTTAATATCAAGCGGAAACGTTGGAACTAGTGATGTTGGATTAAGTGAAACTGAAGTACTTCTTGATACCAAATTTCCGAGTTGACCTGCTAATTCCTTTCGATATCTTGTATGAAGATTACTCTCTGAATAACCTTTTTTTTTTTTTGAATTTCAAGTAAGAAGACAATAAAAAAATAAAATAGAAATTCATGAAAAAATATTATTATTAAAAATGTATTAATTAATATATTTACTCCCATCATCAGAAATTCCTCCATCCCTCATTAAATAATATCTTATGGCATCAACACCATAACGATCAAGCAACATAAAGGGATCAACTACATTCCCACGACTTTTTGACATTTTATGTTTTCCCATCGTCCAATGTGAATGAGTCAAAATTTTTTTAGGTAATGGTAAATTTACCGCCAATAAGAAAGAAGGCCAAAATATTGCATGAAATCTTAAAATATCTTTTCCAATTATATGAATATCTGCGGGCCAAGCATTAATAATTTTTTCATCTTTTTCATTTTGATTCCATGGATATCCAGTAATAGTTAAATAATTAATTAAAGCATCTAACCAAACATAAATGGTTTGTTCAACATCATCAGGAACACTAATTCCCCAATTTAGTCGAGATCGAGGTCGAGATATTGATAAATCAATTAAATCTGTCATTATTAAGGATTTTGTCTCATTATATTTGTTTGATGGAACAATTACTGTCAAAATAAGAATTAATATAAAATTAATATTAAATAATTAAATATTAAATTAATTAAAATAAAATAAATAAAAATACCCTCAGGATTTGTATCTAACCATTCTATCAATTTATTTTTCAAGTTAGACAATCGAAATTTATAATTTTCCTCTTCAGCCCATTCAACTGGATTACCTGTTTCTATAGCTACCTATAATTTATTACATTATATTAGCATTTATAAATTGGCAACTAATAACTTCAGTTATAACTTCAGTTGAACTAAGAAGCAACAAATTGACCTTAGCACAGTTTCCGGAATTATTGTTTTGAATTTCCTGAATTTGAGAAGAACTATAAAATGTCTCGTCAGATATAGAATACCACCCTTCGTGATTTCCTTTATAAATATATCCATTATCTACTAATTTTTTCTAATTAAATACAAGATAATTAAATATTATTAAATATTATTAATATTATTTAATAATAATATTATTGATATTATTGATATTAATTTTTATTTAATATCATTTTTAATATTAAATTTATTAAATTATAAAGTCACACGAATTTGTACCCAAAAGAATTTTACTGTCTCTTTGTGTTTTTGATCTGTTGTGCGTATGAATGTCGTGTAACTTATATTTGCCTCATCAAAAAGTTTCTAAAATTTTTATAAATTTTGATAATATTTATTATATTTGTTTGCTTATTTATTTATTTATTATATTTATTAAATAATAACAACGATAATAATATGAAAGATTAGATGATTATAAAATACTAACGCGAAATACATCTGACATTTGATCACAAAATTCTTGAGGATTTTTATTTTCTTTGAATGCTGCTTGTTGTATCTAAAAATTTATCTATTTTATTATTTATTTTTTCATTATCTAATTTTATTTTTGTTATCTATCTCATTATCTATTTTTCTTGTTATCTATTTCATTATCTATTTCATAATCTGTTTTTTTTTGTTATCTATTTTAAATTAATGACATGCCTTTAGTCCATGTTCATCGGTTCCGGTGCTTAATATAACCTTTTTACCCCTCAGTTCATAATACCTTTTTAGGCTATCTGCTATTACTGCTGAATATAAGTGCCCTATGTGCGGTTCTTGAAGGTTGAAAGAACATTATTATTATATTTTTTTATAAATTAAAAATTATCTATAAAAATTTATTAAAAAATTAAAACTTATTAATAAAGTGAAAAACATAATTTTAAAACTTACTCGAATTTACATAAAAAATTGGTGTGGTAATAAAAATAGGTTTTTCACTACTGTAACTACTGTATAAAACTTTTCCATTTACTAATTTATTAATTAATTTTGACGTTTTAATAAGTCGTAAATATTTTAAACACGACAAAAAAAATAACATTATCAAGATAAAAATTTTTGATAATCAATTCCGAAATTAAAGTTTAAAGTTAATCTAAGATCTACATATGTATATATATATTTATATTACCTAATCGTAATTCAATTCTCTTATTCCAAATGAATCTCGTAACTTTGCTTTCTCGAGCGACACGACCAAGCATTGCGCTTTTAGGTCGCAATAAAATATTACCACATCACTCTCAAAATGCTAGATTCCTTTATCCTAAAGTTTCTTTCAGTTCAAGTTCTAATCTAAAAAGAGCTAGTCCCGTAAATTCATCACACGATAATTTTATGCAAGGAACCACCGCTTCTTACATTGACGAAATGTATGATGCTTGGTCCAAAGATCCTAATTCCGTTCACTTGTCATGGCAAGTTTACTTTAAAAATATGCAAAATGGAGTTAGTCCTGGAAATGCATATCAACCTCCACCGACCATCGTTCCTTTGACCGGGATGTCAACTTCACTATCTCCAACAACCGAACCACACGACGTATACGACCACATGAAAGTTCAACTTTTAGTACGAGCTTACCAAGTTCGGGGTCACCACATTGCAAAGTTAGACCCTTTAGGAATCATGAATGCAGATCTTGATTCCTCAATACCAAGAGAACTTGACCCAAAGCATTATGGATTTACGGAAAAAGATTTTGACAGGCAGTTTTCGATAGGTCCAGGAATTTTACCTGCATTTGGTGAACCTGGTGAAAAAAAGACGCTTCGTGAAATTATAGATATTTGCAAAAAAATCTACAGTAATACATTTATTTAATTTATTTAATTTATTTAATTTATTCGATTTAAATTTATTAATTTATTTAATTTATTTAATTAATTGAATTAAATTTAATTAATTTATATTCAATTTAGGCGGTACCATTGGTATCGAATATATTCATATTCCTGATCGGGTTCAATGCGATTGGATTAGATCACGAATTGAAATTCCTAAACCATATGATTATCCATTAGGTAAATAAATTGATTTTCTTATTCACATTTTTTATATTAAAGTACTTTAATTTAAATCATTAATATTATTAAATTGACATAGATGAAAAAAAATTAATATTGGATCGCTTAATATGGTCTGATTCATTTGAGAGATTTGTTGCAACTAAATATCCAAACGAAAAACGTTTTGGTTTAGAGGGTTGTGAGTCCTTAATTCCAGGAATGAAGGCATTGGTAAGTGACTTCTCTAAACTTTTACGTAATAATAAAGAATTTGAAAACCTAACTAATTATTTATTTTATTTTATTTTATTTTATTTTATTTTATTTTATTTTATTTTATTTTATTTTATTTATCTTTCATCTTATAGATTGACAGATCAGTTGATCTGGGTATCGAATCAATTGTAATTGGTATGCCTCATCGCGGTCGTTTAAATGTACTGAGCAATGTTGTCCGAAAACCAAATGAATCCATATTCTCTGAATTTACTGGAACAGCCGAAGCAACTGATGAAGGATCGGGTGATGTAAAATATCATTTGGGAATGAATTATGATCGACCGACACCATCCGGAAAACGGGTTCATCTTTCTTTAGCAGCTAATCCATCTCATTTAGAAGCAGTAGATCCTGTAGTTTTAGGTAAAACTCGAGCTCTTCAACATTACATGTATGATAATAAAGATCGTCATCGTGCTATGGCTTTGTTGTTACACGGTGATGCAGCCTTTGCCGCTCAAGGTGTAGTTTATGAGACCATCGGATTCCACGATTTACCAAACTATACAACTGGAGGAACAGTTCATATTGTCGTTAATAATCAAATTGGTTTTACTACCGATCCTCGATTCGCTCGTTCAACACCTTATTGTACTGATATTGCAAAAGTTGTGAATGCACCTATATTCCATGTAAATGGAGATGATGTGGAGGGATTAACATTTGTTTGTCAGCTTGCGGGGGAATGGCGTCAAACTTTCAAGAAGGATGTTGTCATTGATATCGTTTGTTATCGAAAACATGGACATAATGAGGTTGATCAACCTAGTTTTACACAACCAAGAATGTACCATCAAATCGCAAAGCAAGTACCCACGCTTGATAAGTATGCAAAAAAACTTGTGGATGATAAAAGTTTCACAATTGATGAAATTAAAAAGCATAAAAAATGGGTGTGGGATACCTTGGAAGAAAGTTATGCAAAAAGCAGAGATTATAAACCTACGAGTCGTGAATGGCTTTCAAGTTCTTGGCATGGTAAGAGAAAAAAAAACTAACTGTATATGACTGATTGTATGAATAATTTATGTGATTGATTGTGTGATCTATATGCATCATCTATCTTTAAGGCTTCAAGTCACCTAAAGAGCTCGCCGATGAGATTACTCCGGTGTATCCAACTGGTTCTAAACTTGAATTGCTAAAACACGTTGGTGAAGTTATTAGCTCCTATCCAAAGAATTTTCACGTTCATCCAGGTCTTGTAAGGATATTAAAGGCTAAATTTAAATCTATTGATGAAGGAGTGAATATTGATATGCCCACTGCAGAAGGTCTTGCCTTCGGCTCTTTACTTGTTGAAGGAAAACATGTCCGTCTATCTGGACAAGATGTTGAACGTGGTACATTTTCACAACGTCATGCTGTCCTTCATGACCAAGAAAACGAAACTCAATATGTTCCTCTGAATGACTTGAGACCGGGTCAGGCACCATTTGATGTCTGTAACTCATCGCTTTCCGAGTTTGGAACTTTGGGATTTGAACTTGGTTACTCACTGGTCAATCCTAATTCTCTTATCTTATGGGAAGCACAATTTGGAGACTTTGCCAATAATGCTCAATGTATAATTGATCAATTTATTGCTACTGGTGAAAAGAAGTGGCATCAACGAACAGGATTGGTAACGTTACTTCCACATGGTTATGATGGACAAGGTCCCGAACATTCTAGTGGTCGAATTGAACGTTTCCTTCAACTTTGTGATGATCATCCTTTTATTTATCCTTCGCCAGAAAAAATGGCACGTCAGCATCAAGAATGTAATATGCAAGTTGTATATTGTTCTACACCTGCAAACTATTTCCACGTTTTGAGGAGGCAAATTTATCGCGACTTTAGAAAACCAGTATGTAATTTCATTTTTTTTTTTTGTATAATTATATACGTCATTATTTAACATAAATGTTTTATAACGTTTTTATATAGCTTGTTGTTTTTACATCGAAGAGCCTTCTTCGACATCCAATGTCTCGGTCTAGCCTTATTGAGATGACTGGCAATACAATATTCCAACGATACATACCGGAACCTCACCCAGATCAACTTGCCTCTCCAGAAAAAATAACGCGACATATTTTATGCTCTGGACAAGTTTATTATACCCTTTTGAAGGCTCGTGATTTAAATAAGATAGATAACGTTGCTATTTCTAGACTTGAACAATTAAGTCCATTTCCACATGACTTGTTATCAAAACATATCGATAAATACCCAAATGCTAAATTAATATGGGCTCAGGAAGAACCTTTGAATCAAGGTGCATGGACATATGTAGCACCCAGGATAGGAACACTTATGAATCATTCTGAACATTATGGAGGTTTGTTAAATTTTAATATATCTTTCATTTACAACATTTTTATGATAATTTAAGTAAAACCTAATTAATATTATTAATATTATAATAGGTAAAACTGCTGAGTTTGCAACCCGTCCACCATTAGCGTCTCCTGCAACTGGTAACAAGAAACAACATATTCAAGAAGAACACGATTTATTATCACAGGCTCTTATCGGTCAGACATTAAAACCACGAGAAGTTGTTAATGGGATACCTTTATGGATATAATTTACACCAAAATATTGAATTAGTTATTTATCCCTTATTAGATGAATTTTTAGAACATAATTATTATAGATAAAGATGAGCGAAAATTTAGGAGGAAATTTGTCATTAAATTTGTAATATTGAAAGAATTTGTACAATAATAGGTTTTGCATTGATGTATAATGTATTTTAAATATTTAAATATTTCATATTAACATATTTATTTTTTTCAAGTCAACATGTTTTAATTTATTAAATAAAATAAAGATCCCTTTGCTTGTCGTAATTGCAAGGACAAGCAATGAATATTCCTGTTTAAAACTTTATTGAACGTTACGTTTAGAGTTCGAATAAGTAGAAAAAAAGAAGAAAACTTTTTTATCGAAGGCGTACAAATTTTATTTAGAAGATTTGAAATTTTGACTTCTAAGCTTCAGATTGTTTATAATAAAACTGAAACTGAATCCGAAACCGAAATTGGTAGTTCGATTTATCTGGTGTCTGCGGCATCATCGATGCCATCACTTGTAGTTTGGAGATAAAAGAAATAAATAGTAATTAGTTTAGAAATAGTAATTTTATTGTATTCACTTTTACGATTTTAATAAAGCATAAAATCTTGTCCTTCCACCTTAATAAGCAATACAGGTTTTGGTTTTAACCTTATTTACAAAAAAAATAAATTAAACTTGTTTACACTCAACCAAGTCTAGACAAAAATGTAAGGCCTCGAAGAAAAGAATATTAGCTATTATATGCAAAATGATTCATATATCTATATTTGATCAAGGGAAAAATTATTTAGTATGCTAAACTATCTTAAATTCTTTCTGACCACCCAATTGAATAGATCCACTAATTTTAAATCGTTACTTAATAGTATAGGTTAACAATTAAAGGTGAATTTGTTTGTTCAGGAAACGCAACGTCCAATTTAAGCATAAAAAAAAATACAAAGAACGAAAACTGCATTTATATTATTTATATATATGCACATAATACCGAAAGTTATATATGTATATTAGTGACGTAATCAAGTTGATTCAAAATAACCAAAAGATGAGATTTCATTATCTTTACATGTATGTACATATAACAATTGAACTAAAAATAATTATAAACAATATTGAGTATTTTTTTGTTCAAGTGCTTCCAGTAACCTAAAAATAAATAAATAAATCGGTCAGATCTTTGTTTATAATTCTTATATTTATTTTTAGTTCTTGTGTTTCTATTTTTTTTTCTTTGATCTAGGGCTGGTTTTTGTCATGTCATAAGGGAATTTTAAAAATGGTATTTTATAGAAACTCATTTTTCAAATTAAATTAAATTAAAATTAGGTTTCACCTTTTTAATTTCTAAAATGAGTAACAATAATAACCTCATTATTCAAAAAAAAAAAAAAAAAAAAAAAAGTTCAAGAGATCGACGTTAACAATAGTTCAAAAATGACGAATGATTTTTAATTTCCAAATTGGTTTCCTTAAGAATTTCAAATGAGATATTCTAACTATATCTGTATTCTTGTATTAGAATAAATTACTTTACGCCACCTTAGATCTGACCAATTTAGAAATTTTATGCAGGGTTATATTGGTAGATGCATTAATTAACATAGAAGAATATTATTATTTTTTTATTATCTTTAAGTAACATCCGTAATTTTCTTGCTAATTTTTTTTTTCACTTATTCACATGATTATACGACTTACTCTCATTGAAATTTTTAAGAAACCTCAATTTGTTAATTTTTAATATGGCTGAATATTGCACTCTATAATCTCCAATGGCTATGGATTAAAGAAGGAATTTCTCCGTTGTTATTTATGTGTTACTAATTTAAAAAACACTCATTATTGGATTTTTTTTAAAAACTTAATTACCGCATAAGACGATTCTTAAATATGGATGAATTTGTTTTCTAAATGATGTCGTTGCAGGTTACCATGCTTCTTGTCTTACCAGTTGTATCCTCATTCAAAAAAAACTAACACATTTCTGTGTTCTCAAATCTGCCTATATCAAGACTGAATTTTTGATTCTGTAAAAAATTTAGAGAATACGAGTTCTTCTTGTATCTCTTTCATTAGATTCTATACTAGTGAACGTCCCTTTTCATTAGTTAAAAAGTTCACGAGCTCAGAGCTCTTTACTAAAATGCCTCTAATAAATTGGAAAGGGTTATGTTCTTTAGAGCATGGATTTGTTACGATTTTGATATTGAGTTTATTAATAAATCTATCTTATGCTGCCAATCAGACATATACATCTCATCGACCTTCTGGGGACATTCCGGGATTAAAAGTAGTTCAAGGAGATACTTACAATAAAGGCACGATTTTATTACGACTTAAGCAAAAAACTACGGATATATGTGAACCTGCAATATATTTGCGTCTTTTACACCCAAATAATACCTGGACAATATTAAATTTACTTCCTAAAGAAATATCTACAGAAAACTATTGCGCCCCTTATCAAAAAAAAAGAAGTCTACTAGAATCTAATAAGGAGCATAAAAAGCATAAAAGGCATAATAAGATTAAGACTTCAATTAGTAAAGAATGCTCATCGACCACGACAAAATGCACTACGACATTAACGACTTCAAAATGTACAACATCGACCAAGAAAACTTTAAAATGTACAACATCGATCACGACTTCAAAATGTACAACGACCCCAACAAAGACTTCAAAATGTACGACGATCCCAACAACATCAAAATGTACTACATCGACCACAACTTCGAAATGTTCAACAACAACATCGGAATGTACCACTATCAATCATCATAATAGCGAAACTTGTACTTCCAAAGAACCAACTATTCACCCAACTATTCATCCAACTTGTACTTCCAAAGTACCAACTATTCATCCAATTTATACTAAATCTAAGCATACTATTTATTCAACAAAACCTTGCACAACTAAAACAACTAAAGCAACTAAAGCAACTAGTGGCGAATGTGGCGGACATACTATCACAAAAACCATAATAATCTCGACTGGCGGGGATGGTGGCGTAACAACTGTCACAAAAACGATTGGTGGAACAACAATCACTAAAGTTGTGGGTGACGCAACAACTGTCACTAAAGTTGTGGGTGACGCAACAACTGTCACTAAAGTTGTGGGTGGCGCAACAACTGTCACTAAAGTTGTGGGTGGCGCAACAACTGTCACTAAAGTTGTGGGTAGCGGTGGTGACGGAGGAACAACTGTCACTGAAGTAACAACGATGATAATACCCGTACCTATGCCTGTCACAAGAACATTTGAAACAGTTGTCACAGAAACATTAGTAACTTCAGTTAATGGAGAACCTTCAACGATATTGGTACCTATCACACAAATTCAAACTACAACTATTGGTGGCGGTGGCACACAAACAATAGTAACTACAATTAATGGCGAAACCACAACACTGATAATACCTGTGCCCATCACACAACCAGCTAGTACGATACCTGCGCCTGGCGAAACAACAACAATAATAGTACCAGGACCTAATGGTGGCGAAAGCACAATAATAACTACAATAAGCGGTCAAACCACGACAGTACCAGTGGCAACCACAATTAATGGTCAACCCACAACAGTATTAATAACCACTATAGTACCAGTAATACCGGTACCTAGCGAAAATACAATAGTTACTACAATTAATGGTCAAACTACAACAATTTACTCGACTGTGCCAACTATACCTTTTAGTCAACCGACGAACGGAGAAACTGTTTCGACTGTAGAAACTACAATTGGTGGAACTCCAACTACATTCATAGCAACCATACCAACGACCGACGTAATTGTTTCGACTGGAGAAACTACAATTGATGGAACTCCAACTACATTCACAACAACCATACCAACGACCGGAGAAACTTTTTCGACTGTAGAAACTACAATTGGTGGAACTCCAACTACATTCATAACAACCATACCAACGACCGGAGAAACTGTTTCGACTGTAGAAACTACAATTGATGGAACTCCGACTACATTCATAACAACCATACCAACGACCGGAGAAACTGTTTCGACTGTAGAAACTACAATTGGTGGAACTCCAACTACATTCATAACAACCATACCAACGACCGACGTAATTGTTTCGACTGTAGAAACTACAATTGATGGAACTCCAACTACATTCACAACAACTTTACCAATGACGACCGGAGAAACTGTTTCGACGTTCGAAACTACAATTAACGGAACTCCGACTACGGTAACGACTACGAATAAGATAAAAACATCGGGAACAACATCGGGAACAACACCAACATCTACACAACCTACAACACTTCCTTCCGTTAATGGAACAATTATTGTACCCAATAAGCACTATGGCTCTTCTCTTGTAATCAATGTATACGCTATATCAACTCAGTATATTCTCATAACATATTATTGTGATCTCCCCAAGTCCCTTAAAATATGCGGTTTAATAATAGATTGGTCGGGTAACACCAAAACGTAAGTTTTAATTTTTAATTCTGTGGCAAAGATTATTAAAGAATAAATAATTTATTATAATTTGTTATTATTTTTTTTGGCAGAGTCATCGATTTTGGAGAAGTATGTTCATCCAGTCAAATTATCAAAAGCATTAATGATGATTATGGGTTCATACGAGTTTGTTTCAAAAACGAAAATAAAGAATTAAAGTGGACAACATATCCTGCGCCGTAAGTTTTTTTTTCCTACTAAATCTCAATTATTATTATTATTATTATAACCATTATAATTAATATTTACGATATAAAAAATTGACAATATTATTAAATTTATTAATTTAGTAAACCAAATGATAATGAATACAAACCTATATGTAATGGCACGATAAGTACTAATTATGAAGAATTTGATTCTAAAAGAATACACGTTTTCTCGGTTGAAAATGGAAAATATGGAATAATCATTACAACAAAAGAATCATCTACTTATTTAAATTTATATTGGATTAATAATAATTGTGAATTTAATGGTCCTACCATGATTTATACTATTCCCACATTAATAACAATTGAAATATATCAATGTAATATGGCTTATCAATCTTCAGGATATAATTGTTTAATTTATTATGAAAAAACAATCGACGTATATGAATTTATCAATATTGTTTTCTTCCATAAAGGAACTGTTAATGTAAATGGAACTACTACTTATACTATAGATGAAGTTCCAGATATATATAACCCATTTTGTGCTATGACATTATATAATGGAGGGTATATTTTATTAACAGAAACAGTAGTAAATACTACAATAATTAAAGGAATTGTAGTTAGTAATGAAGGGAAAATTAATTCAACCGGTTGGGGACTTCCAGATATTTATCAATATCTTCCCATCGCAGGAGTAACTTACGAAAATACAGTTTGGGCTATTTCTATTTCAAATACTCCCAATTCTTATTATAATTATAGTTATGAAAGTTGGTCAATTGTGACATCCACTTCATTATCAGATTATGGAGGTAAGATTATTAATTTGAATAAAAGCATTAAAGAAGAGAAAGAATAACGAAATGTTGTTTAATATTTTTTTAATATATTTTTTATTTTATAGAAGTTTCAATCTATGGCACTACAGTTTACTCCACTAGCCCTTCTTATAATGGTTCTATTAATATTAATTTTGAAGTGATAACCATTAACTATAATTTCCCAATTACAAATTCTACGGGATATATTTACATCTATTATTCAAATATTACTACTATACCACGTTTCAAATCTGAATCGAACAATACTCAATTTATACAATACATACCAGGATCAACAACATTGAATATAACAATCCCTCGAGGGGTTATTAGTAATCAAAATTCAACTTATATTTGCAGAACTGATGATGGTTTTGTGAGCAATACAAATACTGGGCAAGATTTAATTGGAACTTCATGGCCATTCTCTACAGGTAATTATTACATTTACATTTATTGAATATTCTTCTTTTTCTTCCATTTTGTGTATATATATATATATATATATATTTCATATAATTTAACAAATGATATGATATTTTATAATATTTTCAATTATTTAGACACTTCAATCAATGTTGGTGGTGGTGGAAAAATAAGTGTTATCATATTATTAATCCCTAATGCTACGACGACTTATGTAAAATATTCTTCTCAAGAAAAACATCAATTTATTAATGATTTACGTGAAGATATTTCCCTCGCTCTTTATTGTAGTTTAGAACGTGTTAATATGCCTACCAATTGGCAATACAAACAAAATACTGAATATGGAAATATCTTCCTGAGAGTTGATTTTACTGAAGCAAGCAATGGTGAAACAAGCGGAGAGCTTCTTGCCAAAAACTTGGATTCTTTGATAAAGCACGGTACTTTTACGATTATTTCACAATTAGATCACACCAAAGATCTTGATTATCCTTATGGAGCTCATGTGACAAGTAAGTTTATAGATTTCATTTTACAATTATAATAATTATTATAATTATTATTATTTCTTAATAAAATTTAATATATATTCTTTTAATTACATAGGGAATTTATGGCATGATTATTGGTGGTTACTTCTCATCTTTCTTTTCATATTGTTCTTATTATTTATCATATGGCTCTTAACGTTCCGTAGACATAAAAGGGTAAGTTTTAAAAAATCTTTATTAATGATGTATTTGATGCAATCTTCTTGTCAATTTTCTAATCGCATCATTCTTAAAATCTTTATTTCTAGGAATGCGAGAAAACAAATGTGCAAAAGAAACGAGGATCATTCTTTGCTGGTTTCTTGGGGACATTTATTTTGATAGATCTTATATTAGACATTATATTTATAATTTTAAATGGGCAAGCTAAAAAATGGCTCTTCCCAATCAGGTATGGGATAAAATAAAAAAATTAATTGTTTTCGTATCCATTATTATTTCATATTATTATCTTTGCTAATATTTACTAATATTTTATTGATTTTTTTCACAGCATTGTGTTTTTGGTAGTTCCAATTGGCCTTTGTATTATATCTACATTATTTATTATTAATCGAGAATTCAAAAAAAATGATTCATTTGTTAAATGGTGGTCGCGAAATAGCAAGACTGCTTTAATATTTACAATCTTCTCGGCGATTGATACAGAATATTTGTGTATTTTATATTCATACGTTGGTGGTTATGAAACATATAAGGCTCCATTTGAACGAACAACAAAAAGAAATATTATTATTGTAACTATATTAATGACAATTATTGAAGATATTCCACAACTTATATTTTTGGTTAGTTTTTTTTATTAATTTATTTATTCATTAATTTATTTTGACTGATTCATGATTTTTGAACTAATTATTTGTAATCTTTTCTTTAAACATAATAGAGCATCTACCAAGCAGTTTGTATTGTCCCGGAAATCATTCCTCTTATAACATTAATTTCATGTTGCTTCATTATAATACTTAAGATAATATTCCTGATTTTCTTCTATGATTATAATGGATTGAATAATCATGTAAGAACCAATAAGTTCCACGATGTTCATAATGGAGGTATTGATGGTGATTACGATGAAGCCGTGATTCGGAATGAGGATTTAGGTGGTGAAGGTGTAGGTGAAGGTGATGGTGCATATTTTACCGATGCACATGAATTACGAAGACATCAAACACCACCACAACAACCACCACCACCACCACATTCACAACAACATCAACATCAACCATTGCCACCGCCTCCACATCAGCATCATCATCAACCACATCCACAACCACCTCAACATGATATTTTAACAAGTCAACAAAGACAAGGACCAGGTGGACCATTTGTAACTAAAACTGGACAAGATCATCAACAACCATATCCACAGCCACTTCAACATGATATCTCAACAAGTAAGCCAAAACAAGGACCAACTGGACCATTCGTAACTAAAACTGGACAAGATGAAACTACAGAAGTTGAAAATATTAGTCATGTCACTGAAACTATTACTACCGAAATCTCAGCGGATGGTAAAAAAGTAACATCTATAACTAAAGATGAAACATCAGATCCAACGTCATTTATTATTCCCACTTCTCAAGAAATTTCTGGAAAAACAACATATTATACTGATACTAAGGTAATTCCCGGAAAAATCACACATTATACCAATACTCAAGAAATTCCTGGAGAAACAACATATACTACTGAAGAAATTCCTGGAAAAACAACATATTATACTGATACTAAGGAAATTCCTGGAAAAACCACACATTATACCAGTACTCAAGAAATTCCTGGAGAAACAACATATTATACTACTACTACTAGTACTCAAGAAATTCCTGAAGTAACAACATATTATACTACTGAAGAAATTCCTGGAAAAACAATATATTATACTGATACTAAGGAAATTCCTGGAAAAACCACATATTATACCAGTACTCAAGAAATTCCTGGAGAAACAACATATTATACTACTACTAGTACTCAAGAAATTCCTGTAGATACAACATATTATACTAGTACTAAAGAAATTCCTGGAAAAACCACACATTATACCAGTACTCAAGAAATTCCTGGAGAAACAACATATTATACTACTACTAGTACTCAAGAAATTCCTGGAGAAACAACATATTATACTACTGGTTCAACTGGTGTAACTGAATATGAAACCACAACAGTAACTGAGACTACAACCAAAGATGGGGAGACAACAACAAAAACTAAAATTTTTAGAAACAATTAGGACTTTGAGAAACAATTAGAACTTTGAGAAAATAATTTATTTATTTTCATCTTTAGAGTTATGATTTTATTTTATATATTATAAATGTATATTTAGTTCTTAATTAATGATTGTTTGTGGTAGTATTTTTTTTTAATTATTTAATGTTTTGTTATTAGGTAGATTTTTTATTTTTGTGGTTCCTTATTTTCACTTATTTTTAGAAAACAATTTTTATTAAAGACAATTTTATGTATTTCGATTTATTTCGATTTATTTATTTGGTTCAATAAAATCTCTATTTGACGTTTTTAGTATATTATCATGATATTTACTATGTAGCATATATTTTTCATCTCTCATAATAATATTAATAAATATTTTAATATGATTTTTTTAAACCATACCATAAATCTTTATTAAAATATCGAAATAAAAAATCTTTAACAACTGATTGAACTCTCCAGCGGCTGGGGTCTATCATTTCTAGAAAAATCGTTTTATCCTACTCCATAAATTTTACGTAATTTTACGGAATTCTTTTTAACTCAGCCGAACTATATTTTGCCTTATCCGAATTGTTCTTTATCTTGCTATTCCTTATGTGTAATTAACAATAAATACGCACAATAAACAGATCTACAAAGTAACAATTATTCTAAAATAAACAGTACATATAATAGATAGATATTCCAAAAATAAAACACCAATAAGGAAAAAATTTGTCTCGTCATCGGATCACCTGTTATCTAATATAAATTTATCTGTTGTCATTATTATTTGTATTTCATTTATCAAATTTTTTAAATTCGGAGTTAATTTTCATTCATTTTAATATTCATTCATTATCTTTTATCCATTTATTTTTTCTAATATAGAATTTTATTAAATTATCAAACCTTAAATTTATTCATTTTCATTTATTTTCATTTATATTTCTCATAGTTAATGTTAGCAAAGGATTTTAATAATTTGAAAATAAAAAAAAAAAAGATACAATCCATATAATTTGTTCTTTTGTTTTAAAATTGTAATTATTATTATACAATGGATGATGCCGGAAAATTTTGGGCTGGTAAAATTATATTTACTATTATTATATTATTTATTATAATTAACAAAACAAAACATCAAAAACTTATTATTGAATTATTTTATTTTAGAATTGGATAATTTATTATCACAAGGAGAACATAATCAAGATATGGCACGAAAGTCCATAGATTTATACATTAATGTTATGGCAAAGTATGAAGGTATTTTCAAATATACCAATTTTTAAATAATGACAACAAGATTTCAATTTTACTTAATTTTTTTCTTTTCTCTCTTTTTTTCTTAGATGATTACCTGAAAACAGAAATGGATTTCAGAAAATGTTGTTATGCATTATTAGATTCACGCACATTTCAAAAGTTTTTAAATAAAACTATTGAACATTTGATCCATCTTACAGTTATGCATATTGACTTGAAAGAATTGTGGGTGATATATAACATTTTGTTTCTTGCGGGCAAAGAAAATTCATTAAATTTCAAATTAATATCAAGTTTTAAAGAAATGAATTTTATTTTCAAATTAAAACAAAATATTTGTAAACTTGAAGAAGGTATATTATTATTTGTTGTTGTTATTGATTCTAATTGATTTTAATTGTTTTCTTTTTCTTCAATTTATTAGGAAACCGAGTACAGAAGATTTCAGTAAATTTGTTATTTGAAATTTGCTGCATTCAACGTTTATCACAAAATGAACTTTGTAATGATTGATTCTTTTTAATTTTTATATTTACATACATATATATTTATTTATATTTATACTTATTTTATTTATATATAATATTTCTTCTTCATAATCTTCTCGTGTATATTTAGATATGATTGATGAACCATTTTTGAATCATCTCCTTGATATCGTAGAAAATACGAGAGATGAAGAAGATGAAACATTTAACTATTCGATTATTCATCTTATAGTAAGAAATTTTATAGAGAGAGATTTTTTTTTTATTATCTTCTTTATATTCTCTAATTTATTTTTTTTTTCAAATAGCTGTCATTTAACGAGCAATTCATGGCTCACCAAGCAACTTATCAGAATTTCGATGATGATTTGAATCACAATACATTATTAAGAGTATTATCGACGCGTTTTGGAACTAGCAAAACATTTGGTGAGAACGTGATATTTATGCTTAATCGTGAAGGTAAATAGATTTATCAACTTTTGTAAATTTATTAAAAACACATTTAATACATTTATTCATATATTTCGTCTTTTTAATATAGTTGAACCTCATATTCAAATGCTTATATTAAAATTGTTGTATAATATTTTCAATGCACCTGAAACTTATGATTATTTCTATACGAATGATTTATGTGTCTTGATTGATGTATTCATACGAGAATTATATGATTTACCTGAAGAAAGTGAAGCGGTAAGTATTAAAAAAAAAGTAATCCTAAATTTCTCCGAATAAATTTCCTCTTTTTTTTTTTAAAAAAAAAATAATTTTCTTTTAAATTTCAGCTTCGACATTCATATCTTCGAGTACTTTATCCACTTATCACCAATACACAATTATTTCAAAATAAATATAAAAAACATCATATATATAGTTTATTGTTAGATTTAATTGGATTTTCTACCAAACAATTTAAACCTATATCTCCTACTACTCAAAGATTAGTTGATAGATGTTTATTGGCTGAATATTTTGAAGGAATTTCTCATACAAAAACTGATAATAAGAATAATAAGAATTGTCTTCCCATTACACCAAATTCAATTGCATTTCCAATTAATACTATTGATACAACTAACGGAACTACGACTTCAACAACTACGGGAAATAATGGTGTAAATCTACAAGGGAAATTTCTTCGCGCGACAACATTTTAGAAATTATATTATAATAATAATAATAGACACATTTTACAATATTATAAAAATATATATATATATATGACATAATAGGGTTAATTATTTTATGAACTAGAATGATTTTAAAAATATTTGTACTTTTTATTTTTTATATAATCTAATCTATAGAAGAATAAGAAGAATAAATAATTATGATTATTTTTGAGAACTTAATATATCTTTCGATTTTTATTGGTAAATCGGTCTAACGCCGTAGAAGGTTTATTGTCATCTATTTCGTCATTTGATCTCTTTTTTCGACGCGCTTCTTTTTCTTTTTCAATTCTTTGTTGTATTTTCAATTTTCTTTCATCAATTATATTTTTCTGTTTCTTGCGAAGATATCTTTTTAATGAATTGTTTTTTCCACGTGTCCTATTACGTGATTCCTGCTTTTTAGAACCATTTTTGAGTCCTTCCTCCTCTTCTTTTCTCTCTTTAGCTAACATCTCTCTTGAAGCTCTATCGACTTTACCAACAAATGTAGGATCCAATGTAATCATTTCGGGTTGAATCTGAAAATATTTAAAATATTTATTAAAATTTATAATAATTGATAATGAATTGATACCGATTATTATATTTAATTATCCTTACCTTATCTAAAAGACTATGCACTTCAGATTCCTGCCTTTGTTTTTTGGTTTGAAATGGATTTGCTTCTAAGCTATCAATATTTGGTTCCCCGGAGCCTATTATTATTATTATTATTATTATTATTATTATTATTATTATTATTATTATTATTATTATTATTTGTTATTATTAATTATTAATTAAGGTCTTAATTCCCTAAAAAAAAAAGATAAAATATTATTATTACCTGGTATTAATATACTTGAAATACCATCCGAATGACCAATCCCAAGAACATCTTCATAAGGACAAAAATTAATATCTTGTATTTGAGTTCCCGCTTGTAAATGATTCATATACGGTGATTTTTGTTTTGTTTTAAAAGCATCTTTCCATACCTTTTTAAAATTAAAGAAAATATTATAAATATCATAAATAAATAAATAAATATTGTCATTTAACACTTACAGTAACATGAGGTCCCCATCCGACTCCTAAAAGACCCAATTGTGATATTGATAACGAAGAGACGGATGTTCGAGTATAATAATCTTGTAAACATTTATAAGTTCGAACATCCCATAATTTTAATCGACCATCTAAACCGGCTGATGCCATATATGTTCCCGTGTGATCTACTGCAAGAGCTTTTACTGGTCCTCGATGAGTTAACATTTTTACTAGAGGTGTTGACATGTTTGGAGACCATAATGAAACTGTGCCTATATATTTTATATAAATAATATTGATAACATAAATATACTAATATAAAATGAAATTTTAATCAGATAGAAAAATCTATTAATAATTGAAATTTACCATTTGTATGTCCTAAATGTATTATGGCATTCCATGGATTCTGAGCCATCACATCACATTGACCTAATTTAGTTCTCAATTCTGTCACTAATTTCCCAGTAGAAGTATCCTGATATTTCAACCAACCAGCATTACCCTAAAAATTAAATTATTATTATTTAAATTTCTATTATAAAAATTTTAAATATAGTAAATATAATAAATATAATAAAAATATATTTTATGTACCACCGAAACCAATAAAAAATGATATGGCAAGAATTCAATTTTATTCACTTCAATATGATTTTTAAGTTTATGTACTTCAAGTCCATTCTGATCATATATAAATACATATTTCTTTTGCGCTGCTGCAAAGAAGAGCTCATTATGTAGCCATCTAATAATATAATTGATAACAAATACAAGATTTTTTTTTTTTTTTTAGAGAAAAGATATGATAAATTATATAAAATATATAAAAAATTTATTAACCACTTACTTAACATCTCGAACAGCCTCTTTAACATATATCTCGCATCCTTTTTTATTTGATTGCCAATCGAAGGTTGCCAAATGACCTTTACGTCCTCCTATGACCATATTTCTTTGATTTTAAGTTTTTAATATATCGAATTTTAATGAATTTTTAATTATTATTAAAAATCATAATAATCCATTTTTTTTATATTACCTTCCATTTCGTGTATAATCTAATGAATATGCTCCAAATGTCTTTAAATCTAAATTAAATATCTAATATTTCAATCATTATTTAATATATTATTTTGTTTTTTATTTCAAATTCCATAAAAAAAAGATCAAATGAAATTACCTTTAAAGAAGTAACTTCATCCTCCAAATTTTCTTTTAATTTTTTTTGCGTTATATTAAACGTCTTCTCTATACCTTCGGCCTCCAAATATCTTTAATATAAAAATTTCGATATTAGATAATTTTAAATTCACCGAGTGGATCACATATATTAATAAGTTTTACATACCCAGGTTCCTCAACTAACAAAATTTCATAATTTGCTGCCTTTCTAGCCGCATCTTCTGACCTCTTTTCTACACGCTCTAACGTGCTCCTCAACCCTTTTTTTTTTATTTTCTATTGAAAACAAAAAAAAAATAAATTAGTATATAAACAAATCAACCTTCGAATTTTCATTTAAGAGTGATAATTCACCTTCAATTTTTTGGTCCCCAAATTTCCTTCGGCTGGCCTTATATATTTTTTAACATTGATATTATCAATCATTTCTTCTATTGTTTCTTTTGTTTCGTTTGCCATTTTTTTTTTGAATACGATAACAAAAATTCAATTTTTTAATGTTGATCAAATCGATCATTTTTAACGATAATCGATGAACACTTTTAGTTGTGATACATAAAATAAATATCACCGAACTTTTTGGACGGTGGAATTTGTGGATAAATTTCTCTACTCCTATCGTTCCCGCCGTTGTTGTTGTTGGTATAGATGTTGCCGAAATTAGCCAGAATTATGGCATTACGGCATGCCGAAATGCCGAAATATTTAAAAATATTTTCGGCATATACTCTCAAAACCGAAAATGTCGAAAATATTTTCGCTGCCGTAATATTTTCGGCTTTGTAATTATTTTCAGCAGCCATAATTTTATATGCCGAAATTATTTTGCTGACAACAAAAGTTTTCAAAATTTTTTTGTGCGTTTTTTTTTTAATATTTTTTTTTAATTCGCTCTCGATTCACGAAATATAGAACGATTTTCCACTAGATCGAAAGACCTTGTTCTTGGTTACAAAATGTTATGTATTTCATTCGAGTTAGTACAGTTTAAAGTAAAAATCCGTGGAGATTTTTTTGACTTTAACTGTAATAACTCGATGAATATCGACCTTTCGATCTATCATAGAATACTTTAGTAGAAAATTGCTTGCATGTTTCATAAATCGCGAGCGAATTCAAAAAAAATATAAAAAACGCACAAAAAAATTTTAAAACTTTATTGGCAGCAAATGATTTCGGGTATATAAAATAATTACGGTAGCTGAAATTATTTGACACCATTTTTTTTTTAAAAAAAAAAAGAATGTTGTGCGTGCATGATATATAATTATTATTTTTGCAAAAATGAATATAACAATAATTTTAGTAAAGAATAGAAAAAAAAATATCATTTTTTACTAAAGAAAAATAGTAATCCGCTTTTTGTGTTTACCACGTGATAATTATAAAGAAAATGTTAACACGAAAAGAAAATAAACTGTTAAAATAATTTATAGAATAGAAATTATTTTTAGTGAAACTTATGTTTGAATCATAATTTTCGTAGCATTAATTGTGATGGATGGTAAAGATGCAATTTCTTTTACTAATTTTCAACCACATTAATACTTATACATTCGAAAAGGAGATGATATGAAAGTTCTTATTTTCTCAATGTTTTCTTATAGAATTTAGTTTGTCGTCAGAAAAAATTTATTTAAGTACGGATGGATTGTAATACAAATAAACGTCACTTATTTCCTGCAAATATCCGACATCTCTATCTATTTTTATATTGTAATTCTTGCATTTATATGTTTCTGATCCTCCAATGTTCTGAATGTTTCTACATGTCTTTTATGCGTAAGCTTCATTTTGAATTATGACATGGTTTCCTTCTGCTTTTGAAATCAATCGTTGCCGAAACTTGTAATGAGGACAACAAAGCAACTTTCAAACTATTTTTCTTGCTATCTTTCGTGTTTCTGTTAACCTATCTGTAACCTCGAAAGTGGAATAATAATTGTCAAATTTATCAGTTAAAAACTTAATTGTTTTTCGATGTACATTGTCAATACAAAAATTGATAGATCGGTTTATAAAAGCTTTAAGATTCAAAGATCGCTAGGTTCACTTGTATTATCATTATGGTAATATTTAATTATAATTCATTTGATAAAAGTGTATAACTATTTTTTAGATCTCAAAAAACCTAGCCCAAAAACCAAATTTTATTAATTTTTAAAAAACAAATCCAGCCCAAAAAAAAAACAATTGAAAAAGACCCATTAGAAAAAATAAAATGGAAAAGAAAAAAAAAAGACACATCTAATATCCAACTTTTTATGTATACAGTAAAAAGGAATTAATAAGAGAGACAAGAGAGATAATTTAACAGCGAAACATCATTCTACATAATAAAGAGAGAGAGAACGAACAATGGACAAGACAGGAAAAAGGGAATATGGGGAGAGATACACTAGAGAGAAAAACCATTCACGAAGCAACTTTTATATAAGAAAAAAAGGTAAATAAAAAAAATAAAAATTATATACAAAAAAAAAAGGTATTAAAAATTATCTACATGAAATTAGATTATTATTAACAAAGGTAATGAATTTTCTACTATTAATACTAATTTCGACACATTAGTAGTAGTAGTATGGAGTGGCATCAGCGTCACGTTTGTAGTAATAGTATGGTTTGGCTTCGGCATCACGTTTGTAGTAATAGTATGGCTTGGCTTCGGCATCACGTTTGTAGTAGTAGTATGGCTCGGCATCACGTTTGTAGTAATAGTATGGTTTGGCTTCGGCATCACGTTTGTAGTAGTAGTATGGGGTGGCATCAGCGTCACGTTTGTAGTAATAGTATGGCTCGGCATCACGTTTGTAGTAATAGTATGGTTTGGCTTCAGCATCACGTTTGTAGTAGTAGTATGGGGTGGCATCAGCATCACGTTTGTAGTAATAGTATGGTTTGGCTTCGGCATCACGTTTGTAGTAGTAGTATGGTTTGGCTTCGGCATCACGTTTGTAGTAGTAGTATGGGTTTGGAGTGGCATCAGCGTCACGTTTGTAGTAATAGTATGGTTTGGCTTCGGCATCACGTTTGTAGTAGTAGTATGGGTTTGGAGAGGCATCAGCGTCACGTTTTTGTTCATTGGGCTCTAAATGATTTTTAGGATTATTAAAATTAGTATTAAAGAGTGATTTATAAATAATTATGATATTTCAAAATCAAAAAAGAACAAACCGGCAATAGTAGAAGCGACGAGCAAAGCAACTAAGAAAAAGATTACAAAGGATTTCATTTTGTAAGATTTTTTTTGTTTATTAGAAACTTTTTAATGATTGTTTGAAACAAAGTGAGGAATCTTACAGGGTGAATTTCGGTGGTTTATATAGAGATTTTGAAACATATAGCACAAATGAAAAACTTATAAAATAAACGAATCAGATAACTAATCTATTAGACAATTTAATTTTCCAAAGCCCCTAATATTTTTAATATCTTTATTAAAAATCTTTACTAACTTATTATTTACGTTTTCTCGAAGCCACGTGAATATAAGCCTAATGTTTTTAAATAAATGGTAAACAAAACAATAAAATTTTAGCCTCATATTTATAATGATCGTGGGATATCTTCTATCTCGCGATCGTTTTATGTTTCCAATTTCTAATTACTTTGCGTTTTTCGATATTCATATATAATTTATTTATAATAAGAGTCACGGTCTTTATTATTTTTTGTTTAGTAAAATCGAATCGAAATAAAATCTCGTTAAGGCAAATTAAGACAAATTTGAATGTATTTATTTAATGCAAGCCTTCCGGATATTACTGAATCCAATTCAAAAGCCCCATAAAATTGAGTTAAATGCCACAATATGGAAACAACGGATCTCTTGTAAATGTTAAATGCCACAAAATGATCTAAGTTAAAAAGACGATATATGTTTTCTTCGGCTAAGTAAGGCTGCAGATTCAATATATATATATATATATATATAAACAATAAATAAATCATCGCCACATCAAAACGATGTGAGGCGAAGCGCCGACGGCGAAGTCAACAATTATAACGTTAACTTTATTTGGGGAAATTACCTATTATTTTGAATCGGACAAGAATTTACTTACACTCGTTCTCGTTCTCGAGACTAAAAAAATCTGTCTTACAATAATATAAAATTTATTAATCTTAAGATATCTCGAGATTTGACATATCTCACAAAAGCCACACACTACAGTAGTTGGTATCGCTTCCAGCTATATTATAAAATCTATTCAAATGTATTAAACATCCACCATAAATGGGTTAAACAAATAGAAAAGGGTTAATTTCTTTTATGAAGCCTCATTCAATCATCATTAATTCGTTGAGTACAAATTGTAAAATTTTTGCTCTTGTAAAAAGTTTGTTTCTTTGAAATATAATTTCGCTAGAAAAGGTTAGTTTCTTTTACATGTATTCATTAATGTGCTGATGCGCTGAGTAAAATTGTCTTGTAAAAAATATAATTTCATCGGGAAAGGTTAGTTTCTTTGAATTTGTTCTTATTATTTACTGTAAAGTCGAAAGGTAATTCTTGTGAAAAGTGTTCTGTAGTAATTTGCCTTATCCTTCTTAACCTACCAAAAGGGTATAATAATATTTTCGTGAAAATCTCAGTTTATTTAGTTTATTTAATATATTGAAATGAAAGAGAAATTCTGTAATAAGATGATATGCAATATGCAATTTCGTAAATAATTTTATTTAGTTAATAGATTCATTATCTTATTTCGCTATTTGGCATTTATAACTATTACTTTATTTACCAAACTTTGTCAAAGAACTTCTCAATTCTAATGATTCCCTAAATTCTAAAATTTAAAATGCCTTTTTATGTACTGACAGTTACAATCTCTCCCTGTTGTAAGTTTACCCAATTAAATAATATTCACGATAATAATCTCAGAAAAACAAGAAAGTAAAAAAAAAAAGTCAGTAACGGATATAGCGACCTTTAATCAATATTTAGATTCTTCTTGTATAATTTTATAAAGGATTGTCGAATAGATTTATAGAACCGATTCTGATATAGACACTAAGTCATTGTTTTTACTATTTATAATAGCCAATAAGTAAATAATTATAATGCCTTAAAATAGTAAAAAGTCATATGTATTGAATAATTATTGAAATATTGCCAGATATAATCGAACAATTAATTTAAAAACATCGTTATGAGAAAATTTTAGAACCATATATTTTGCTCAACGTATTAATTGGTATTGAATTTATATTTTTTCGTAAAATCGTATAACATGAGAACATATATTTATCAAAGAATATATGTTTTGCTAAATTGTAATTTTTTTATTCTTTAACATATTTGTGGTAATTTAAAAGTATAATTTTATACAAGAAAAAAAATCATTATAAAAATGCAGAAAATACAGAATATTAAAATCAATTTAATACTGGTTTCGGTTATCTGGTTTATTTTCATGATATTAAATGCAAATGCAAAAGGTTAGTATCATTATCATTACTATTATCGCATTAATTCTCGAATTTGTTCCTTACAAAATTATTATTAAATAGATTGTGTTATGTGTGCTCAAGTTGTTCCGGAATGTAAAGAGTGTCGACATGGCATATGCAGAATTACAAAACAAACTTGTGAGGAGTGTTCTAAAGCAATTTGCGTTCCAAAGTCTTGCCCTCGTAAATATAGATACTGAAGTGAAAATCTCATAGTTCATTCCAATTAACAAGATATTATTAAAAATATTCGACAATTGTTGTTAATATATAATTGTAATTTCATATAACTTATTTTGTGACAATGAAATTTATCAAACTTTACAAAGAATTTTTCTTCCAGATGCTACTAATAATTGAAATCCCTCCCAATTATTCGTTAATATTCATTGGAACCTTTAAACCGATAATAACTCACTCTGGTTCATTATCACATTATTTTTAAAATCTTCATCTAGTAAATTGTAGAATTATGACACGTGTCGAGCCTTATATTAATACCAAAATTTTTTAAATAAAAATTTTATTTAGAAAAGTGATTTGTATTTTATTATGTGAAATTAATGTTTGTTGATGAACTCTTTATTATTATTATTATTATTATTATTATTATTATTATTATCATCATTATTGTTAAAACTTTAATTTTTTTACTTAGATATTTTTAATAAATTCTATCAAAAGAAAAAAAATAAAATAAATAATATATGGATGTAAAATTACCTGTTAATAATAATAAATTATTTTTGTATCTTAATTATATTCAAGATCTTCTTGATAAATCTTTTAAATAGATATCTATTTTATTTTTTATTCTTCGTCTTCACTGGAAGACTCATCATCATCATCATCATCAACAATTCCTCGATTAGTATTTACAAAAAGTCCATCCGAATCATCATCAATCGTTTCCCCTCTTGATTATGCAATTGAATTATTATTATGAAATTATTTTAGATTTCGATTCCGTCATCAAAAGTAATATAAATTATAAAAATTATACCTAGAAGAAGAATCTTTTTGTTCTTCAAATTCAACCGGCCTTTTTTTTTATATAAAATTATTAATTTATTATTATTAATAAATATCATTAATAAAGCGTATAGATTATTTAATTTCTTTACCATATTCCTTCCGATTTTAGATGTTTTACATGTTCAGGAAATAAAACATGGACAATTTCTCCCCATATTTTATTTTCTCTTTTTTCTGACTCTATTGGTAATATTATTACATAACTACCTAACGTAAAATTTTATTTAATAAATAATTCTCTCAAGATAATTAACTCATTCAATTTAACTAATTCTTATGAGTATAAAAAGAAAAAGGTCTAAAGTATATATATTTAAATTAAAAGGTAATATTGAAATTTGAATATAATACCACGTTTGACCCATACAAGATTACGAAATTTCGGGGGTAGAGTGCATAAAGAAATATTACCCTCCGGAAGTTGTACTTCATGAAGATTTTTTCCTCGACCACCTAAAACTCGAGCAATTCTTTGTGAATCAGTTGGAATTGGATTTGTGATAAGAATTTGGTTCGCTGTTTTTTGTTTTCGACCCATTAATATAATAGATTATATATATATATATATTTGATAATATTTTTTTTGGGGTAAAATATATTTGATAAAATATATTTGATAACATCGTAAACATCGAGATTTCAAGATCTAAAATCGAACGTTACCAGGTTCTTGGTTATTACACGTGGCGTACCTGAAAAAACTAAAAAAAAAAACCTTTCAATTTTTAAAGGTGTATATTTGTAACTATAAATCGTGATGTTCGAAAGTTTTGAAAGTCGACAAACAACTTTACCCCCACACGCTCCACCCACCGAAAGTGCTCGAGCCGGGTTATATCACCCTACACTAAATGAAATAAAAGAAGATTCGATTTCTTTAAAAGCTCAACAATATTGGCAAAAAAAAGATGCCAAGTGGGATCCGGAGATCGTTGATCGAATCTATATAAAAGAATTAGAACATAATAGATTTGAAACTAAAAAATTGATGTTATTAGAATTTAGTCAATATTTAGAAAAGGTTTGATAAATGATATTAGATCGATTTAAAAGTGTTTTTGTTTAAAAGTTATTTTTATTTAAATTTATTTATTTGATCAATTAATTTATAAAATAAAATACATATATTTATTACATATGTTAAATTTATCATTATAAATATTAGTATCTTTGGCCAAATTATGATGACGAAAAAGCTACTTTGGAGCATGCATTGTCGATAGTGTTAATGGTCAATGAAAAATGTAGAGAACGTATACCTGCTTGGGGTAAATAAAAAGAAGCGAATTGCTTTGAATTATTTTTGAATTATTTTTGAATTATTGGAATTACTGGAATTTTTTTTTTTTTTGGATTTATGTATTAAACTTTTATGTTTTTTTGTGCAGATAGCTTTTTAAAAAAACCTGATCAATTTCCAAAATTCTTTACGCGTATCCTTCGCCTTAGTATAACGAATAATCTAAACTTACAAGTTAGAAGATTTATTCTGGTTTTTTTGATTCTCGCATTTCAAAGTTTGGAGAACCAATTATTAAGAACGGAGTGCATGATGTGAGAGATCTTCCTTATATTCTTATGTTTTTTGTTAATAATCTATTTTTTTTTTTTTAAATCTATTTATTTTTTTTTTTTAAAATATTATTTAAAAACATTTTTTTATAGGTTGGTGTCACTCATGACATGGCATTGTTTTGGAACTTCTTCATTAAGAGATCAAGAATTTGCAACAAATAAAAATCTTAAAAAGCAATGGAGAGCTTTTGAAAAGAAATATAAAAATGCAGGTATTCTATAGTTATTAATTTGGTAAATGTTGTTAATGTTTGATATTCATTTCATTTGTTAATTTTATTTATATAAAAATATTTATATTATAAATTTTTATTTATTTAAAAAAAATTATATTATTAATTAATTAAATTAAATTATTTATTATTAATTATTAATTATTATATTATTAATTTTAATTAAAGATAAAGCACAAAAGGAACAATTGTTATTTCAAAGAACTTGGATTAGTAATTATATGAAAGGATTTGTGGAAGTATTATATTCAATACCAGAAGTTGGTGATATGGATCCAGATGCGATTGCATATTGTGAACGGTTTTTAGAATTTTTGATAGATTTAGAAGCTCAACTTCCCACAAGAAGATATTTCAATACACTATTAGATGATCACCAAATATTGGTGTTATGTAAATTGTCACCATTAGTTAAACGTGAAAAAGGAAGGTTAGTATCTTCTTATTCTCTTCTTATTCTCTTTTTTATTCTCTTCTTTGTCTCTTCTTGTCTTATTTTATGAATTAATTAATTTTATTTCACATTAATAACAAACAACACAAACAGTGAGCTGTTCAAGCAACTCTTGGAAATATTAAAGTTTTATGCAGGATTTGAGATCCATGATCATACTGGATTAGCATTAAGAGATGATGAGATGACAGAATTACATTGTAAAAAGTTAACAGAATTGCAGGTGATAATTTATTTATTATTTATTTATTTATTTATTTATCTTTTATCTTTTATTTATCTATTTTATTTATTTATTTATTTTACTTTAATAATAGCATATTGCATATAGTCATTTCAAAGAATCATTAATATTATTAGCATTATCAAATTTATCTTCAATTGAAAAACGGGAAGATTTATTAATTCATTTTGGTCCACTTGATCATGAAGAAATAATAAGATTATGTAAATTCTTAAATATAAGATATCAAAAATTGGTTGGGGAAGGTGTATATGATAAAGAATTTTTATTAGAAGTTTTAATTGGAAAATTTGAAAAGAGAATAAGTCAAATTGATAAAATTAATTCACTTCCTTTATATCCTGATGAGGTTTGTTATTTTTTTTTTCTCAATTTATTTATATAATTTATTTGAACAATTAATATATTATATGTTAATAATTTCAATATTGTTATTATTATTATTATTATTATTATTCTATTAGAATACACTTTTTGATGATGCAGTGGTAAAGACACAATTTTATTCTGGGGATTTACCACTAGCACTTCCCAAACTTAATTTACAATTTCTCACAATTCATGATTATTTGTTGAGAAATTTTAATTTATTTCGACTTGAAAGTACTTATGAAATTCGTCAAGATATTGAAGATGTGGTTAAACGTTTGGCACCGAGAGTAACTTATCCATCAGGAATGAATGAATTTACTGGTTGGGCACGTATGGCTGTAGAAATTGAACAATTTAAGTAATTATTAATTATATTATTTTTGTTTATTTTAATTATTTTAATTTTTTTTAATTATTTTAATTACTTTTAATTATTTTTAATCATATTTATATTTGTTTCTTATCATTTGATCATTATTATTTTATCAGCATTGTTGAAGTCACTAAACCTAATCTTGGTGAAAATAAGCCGGCGCAAGTTAAAGCGGATGTAAGAAGAAAGCATTTTATTAAAATTATTCTATCTTAGATAGAATTCCAATAAATAAATTAAATTTAACTTAATGTAATTAAATATTACATTATATTATATATTTACTAGGTGACATATAAACTTGGTCGTTATACAGAATCTATTCAAAATGAATGGGATTCCTTAAAGCAACATGATGTATTGTTTTTATTATCAATTCAAGCTCATGACGGTACATCCGATAAATATAAAGATGAAACACCATTCCGAGAACATTTTGGATTAAAATATGTTAGAGGTTGTGAAGTGAGCGATATTATTGGTGATGATGGTGATTATTTGTCGCTTTTTTTATTGTTATTTTTATTGTCATTTTACGTGCTATTAAGTAATTCTTGAAATAATAATTAATTTTGGTTTATTTATTTTTAGGAAAACCGATTGATGAAGTGGGAAAACCTCGTATTGAAGATCGTAGACCTAAAATTTCCGGAAATACAAGGACTCTTCGTTTGTTATTAGATACAAATCAATACAAAGTAATATTTGTTTTTGAAATAACTTAAATTTAAATAAATCATCAATATTTTTATTATGGTTATTGATTTTTTTTTTATTAAATATTTATTAGATTGATATGGATAGATATTCACGCACAAAAGGCGAGGATGTGTATGAAACTTTTAATATTTTGATGAGAAGAAAGCCAAAAGTAATTTCCTTTTTAATCTTTGCTTCTTTCTTGTCAAATAATTATAATAATGAGCATCATCATTTATTTTTTTTTTTTATATATTATCTATATTTTTATATAACAGGAAAATAATTTCAAAGCTGTATTAGAAACTATTCGCGATTTAATGCAGAGTGAATTGGTAGTTCCTGAATGGTTACATAATGTTTTCTTGGGTTATGGTTTTCCTGGTAGTGCTCATTATATAATGTTACAAAATTTGCCCAAAGAAATTGATTTTCGGGATACTCTCTTGGATTACGATCATTTAGTTAATAGTTTTCATCCCAAGGTAAATATATATTATATTATGTATATGTATATTATTTATCTCTTATTCATTTATCACAAATTTCTTATTAAATTTTCTTTTTTTGAATAGAAAATAGTTTCTGATGAAAAAGATACTCTTTCCCCTCCTTACGTTATTCAATTCCCAGAAGTTAGAAAGAGAGAACTAGAAAAATCTGAAAATATAGATCCAAATGAATTAAAGAAAGTTGAAAATGAAATTGTTGTTAAGACATATACTATGCCAAATATGGGTCCTTACCCTTTCAATCTTCCAAAGAAAAATTCTATAAGATTTACTCCTTCTCAAGGTATGTAATATATATATATATATATTTATTTATTCATTTAATATAATAAATGAGATGAAGAAATTTTACTTGATTAAATAATTTCACGTAAAATTGTTGTTGTTTTTATTGTTAGTGGAAGCTATTAAATCGGGAACAAATCCTGGTTTAACTATGGTAGTTGGTCCTCCTGGTACGGGTAAAACGGATGTGGCGGTTCAAATTATTGCTAATCTTTATCATAATTTCCCTGAACAACATACTTTATTGGTTACTCATAGTAATCAAGCACTTAATCAGATATTTGAAAAGATTATGGCACTTGGTAATTATTATTATTATTATTATCATTATCTATAATTGGTGTTTAAATATATTATTATCCATTTTTTGTGACTCATCGTAATAATGTTTTTTATGTATATAAAATAAAGATGTGGATGAACGACATTTGCTTCGTTTAGGTCACGGTGAAGAAGAATTAAATACTGAATTAAGTTTTAGTAAATATGGTCGCGTTAATTCATTCTTGGTATTTATTTCTTTTTTATTTGTTTTTTTTTTCTTATTTATTTTTTTATTATTTCTTCATTTTTTTTAAGTTTTTTTTTTTTTTTTTTTATATTTATTTCTTATTTCTTTATTCATTTTGTGTCTATTTATATATGAAGAATGCTAGTATTAATATATATGAATTCATTATAGGAAAAACGTCTCTCTCTTCTAAAGGAAGTAGATCGTTTAGCCAAATCATTAAATGTAGGAGGGGAACATGGATATACTTGTGAAACTGCTGGTTACTTTTATTTATATCACGTCTTATCAAAATGGGAACCTTATATTGATAAATGTCGACAAGGATTAGAAAAAAGAAATGTTTCGGTGGAAATAATGCGAAATGAATTTATCTTTACCAAATATTTTGCTGATGCACCTCAACCTCTTTTCCCCGAAAATGCTAGTTATGCTGAAACTTTGGAAATTATTGAAGGATGTTTTAGACATATTGAAAAGATTTTTACAGAATTAGAAGAAATAAGAGGATTTGAATTATTGAGAACAAGTTATGATAGAGCAAATTATTTATTAACTAAAGAAGCTAAAATAATTGCTATGACTTGTACTCACGCTGCACTTAAGGTTTGTACGCATCACAGGTTTCAATTAAGAAGTTAAAAAAATTTTATTTATAATTCGATTAATATTATTATTGTTATTATTCACGAATTATTATTATAGAGACGAGAATTAGTTTCATTAGGATTCAAGTATGATAATGTTGTAATGGAAGAAGCAGCCCAAATTTTAGAAGTTGAAACATTTATTCCATTATTACTTCAAGAAACTGAAGATGGAAGAAGTAGATTAAAGAGAGTCATCTTAATAGGGGATCATAATCAATTACCACCAGTTGTTAAAAATATGGCATTTCAACAATATGGAAATATGGAACAAAGTTTATTTACAAGATTCGTTAGATTGGGTGTACCAACTATTGATTTAGATTCTCAAGTATGAATTTTTTATAGAAAATGAATTCATTTATTTTTTTTTTTTCATTTTATACAGATTTTATATAATGAATATAATGACAATATTCTTTTTTCTTTCAGGGTCGTTCCAGGCCATCAATTGCGTCATTATTTAATTGGCGATATAATAATTTAGGTGATTTACCAGTCGTTCATGAACAGTATGAATATAAAAAAGCAAATGCTGGGTACAGTATTATTATTATTATTATTATCTATTTTTAGTAGAATAGAATTGAATTTTTATTCGTTTGGATTATTTATTTAAAATTCAATTTTCCTAATAATAGATTCACATATGAATATCAATTAATAAATGTTGATAATTACGCGGGTAAAGGGGAAACAGAACCTGTTCCTTTCTTTTATCAGGTAATAATTTCATTGTTCAAGATGTTTATTATTTTTATTATTATTATTTATTATTTTAATATTTTTTAATAATGTCATTTATTTTACTTCATTATTTTAGAATCTTGGAGAAGCAGAATATATTGTTGCAGTTTATCAATACATGCGTTTGTTGGGGTATGAATTGACGTTTCTTAACATATTTATATAAATTATATATATATATATATTTATATTTATTTATTTAAATAAATCGATATTTTATTTTATTTTATTTTATAGGTATCCATCCGAAAAGATATCGATATTAACAACGTACAACGGTCAAAAGGCTTTAATACGGGATGTTTTACGACAGCGTTGTTCGTGGAATCCTTTGTTTGGTCAACCAGCCAAAGTGACTACTGTCGATAAATATCAAGGACAACAAAATGATTGTGAGTATAATTTTCGATTTTTTCATATTTAATATTATGATGTATATTAAATATATTAATATATGAATTATTTTTGTTTATCTTTTTTTTTTTTTAATAGATATTTTATTATCGTTAGTTCGAACAAGAAACGTTGGACATATTAGAGACGTACGACGTTTAATAGTTGCGATGTCTCGTGCACGATTAGGTCTTTACGTTTTTTGTCGCCTTGCATTATTTAAAAATTGTTATGAGTTGACATCAACTTTTGATAGATTATTGGAACGTCCGACTGAATTAAGTTTGAGAATTAATGAGATGTGGCCTTCGAATAGAGATGTTAGTTTTGTAATTTTTTTTTATTTATTTTTTTCTCAGCAATTTAAACAACAACAACAACAACAATAATAATTTTTTTAATTATCTAACAAAAAAAATAGTTTGATGATTATAGCGAACCTTTTACTATCGTCGATGTAGTTCATATGGGAAAATATGTGTTCCAAATGATGCAAGAACAATTAGAATATGCCAAAGAACAAAATGCCGAGATGGAGGGATTGATAAAAGGTGAAAAAGATAAAGAAAAAGAAACAGCGAAAGAAGATAGTAGCGATAAAGAAGAAGATAGCAATGAAAAAAAAGAAAAAGAAACAGTGAAAGTATCATCACCTGAATCATCTGAATCTGAGGATGGAATGAGTGAAGATGATAGTCCAGAAGAACAAATCATCGTAAGAAATGATGAACCTGACGAGGATAGTGAAGAATCTGCTGCCAGTGATGATTCTATAGATTCTCAAAACAGTGATTATTAATAATAATAAAAAATGGTTGATTGTGTAATTAAATAATTATTTTTAATTATTTTAATTTAATGCTTTTCAAAATGTCTATAGACAAGTTATATTGATATGAAAATATATATGAAATGAGAATATTTATAAATTACACTCTTTATAAAGCTGAAATGTTATATATAAAAAAAAAATTAATTTTAATATTAATTAAAAAGTTTCTCTTCTATAAAATAGTTTTATCATATCTTCATATTATTAATAAATTAAAATATTAAAATCAAAAATGTAAATTTAATAAATAGACATCTTAGATATAAAACTCACTACCTAAAAGAATGATATTTTAAATCATTCATTTCATTCAATTTTAAAGTTAAATATTCTTTTATGACACGATATATCAAGTTTAAACATCCAAAGAGAATAAATTTTATATTATTAAAGTCTTTGATAAATAGAACAATAAAAATTCTATCTCAATTTTTCTTTCTGGAATTCCACAAATTTACAATAATTTTATGATACAGAAACTGGTATATAGAGAATAATGTATAAAAGAATAATGTATAAAAGAATAATACAGAGAATACAAAAGATATATATAAATATAAAAGATATATATAAAATACAAAAGATATTTTTTAAAATTCTCTCAGTGTTAATTTCTAAAAATAATAAACAGTAATCATTTATTTTTATATAATAATATTTTTTTATAAATACTTTTACAAATATTTTATTTTAGTTTGATGAATTGATTGATTTGATTAATTGATTAATAATGCTAAACGAAAATAAAGTAAAATATAATTTAAAAATTTTTTTTTTTTATCCATCAAGCATGGGAGATGGCTGAAATCTATAAGATTCAACATATTTTCTAATTTGTTTATTTATCCTTCGATCATCATTTGTTCCTAATTTACGTTTAATATTTTTGGATAAATTAAAGGTTTTTCCACTCTCAATCATCCTTATTAATTTAGGTAATGGTCTTCCTTCAAATCCTGGTCTAAATTCTTTTGCCTATTGATAATTAAATTAAATTTATTAAAAATGTATTAAATAAAATAATATAAATTAAATAATGAAATAAATTATAAATATTATTATACCTCAAATTTGATATTTTCTATTGAATCAAAATCATCTTTGACGAATTGTTCACTTTCTTCTTCTTCTTCTTCCCCTTCTCTTATTTCTGTTTCTATTTCTGCTCTTACCTCTGATGTTTCTCCTATTTCTCCATCTTCTTCTTCCATTTCACAATTTACCATTTCATTTTCTATATTTTCTGAACTTTGATTTTGCATATTCCGTAAGAATTCATCAACTGTTGGAAATAATTCTTTTCTAAAATCAATAAATATATTATAAATATTTTAAAAATAAATAATGTAAACATAATTATGAATATTATATGAAAAAAAAGATCACAGATGATGATATTAATTGATATTAATTTTTACCTTTTCTCTTCAGTCAAAGATTCTAAAAATTCTTTAACTTCAGCACCTTCTTCTTTTATTTCAATTAATTTATCATATTTTGAGATCTGTTTAACTATCTCTTTATGATTTACCAATCGTTCACTTAATTCTTGTATTTCTGTCATTATTATTTGTTGATAATTCCAATTATAAGTTTTTTGTTGCCAATCAGTTTGTTTTTGTTGACTATAAAATAATTTTTTGATTAAAAATAATTTTTTTTTTTTTTGATAAAATAATTATCATCAATTAAAAAAATAATTTTAGTATATATATATATACATTATCATTGATTAAAATAGTATAAATAAAGTATATATTATCTATAATTTTAATTTTAAATTTCTCTAACTTTTTCTTTACCTTGTTTGTTGAAAAATCGATCGATCGCTAATTTGATTACTTTGATTATTTTGATTAAAGTTATTTTGTTTATATGTCAACATTGGATATAATCAATTTTATATCTTTTTTTTTTTTTATATATATAATTTGCTAATTTGATAATTTATATATTTATATATAAATTATGATGAATTGTAAATTTGAAATTTGATAAATAAGATGGATTGATTGAATTGATTCTCATAAAAGACATAAAAGAATGAGAATTAAAAAAAAAAATTTTTTTTTTGATCTGCGTTTACATTATTTGTATTTGTGTTTTGTGTTACTCTTTGTTTCTTATTTATATGCCATATGTGTCCAATTACCCAGACGAGGGTGTGGGGAAAGGTAGAAGGACGCTTTTGGAAATAAAGAAAATCCATATGGAATAATTTATATTTCTTAATATAGGATATATTAACATGTTTCATGTTTAAATTTTCTTCTAAAATTGTCATCTAACATGTTATAAAGAAATCTATCTAACAAGGAGAATTTACACGAGAATTTATATTATATTGTTTGTTGTTAAATCTAACAAGGAAAATTTATATTGTTTTTGTTGAATGGCGACACAACCAATTTTTGACAAATTGGAAAAGAACAATGTAAAAATAACATTTCGCAACCTTATGATTTCCTTGTACTATATAAATCTTAAATCTTAAATGTATTAAATGTATATAAATCAAAAAAAAAAATTCTCTATCATAAAGTATAAAACTTCAATTTTACAATTTTCTATTATAAAGTATAAAAACGTCATTTTTTTTTACAATTTTCCATCATAAAGTAAAAACCAACCAATTTTCTATCATAAATAAAGTATAAAACACAATTTATTACAATTTTTCTATCAATTTTCTTGATATAATATATATAAATGGAATTTAATATGAAAAATAATAATCCTAAAAAATTTGAAAATATCGTTTCAAAAATCAAGGTAATTAAATAAATAAATATTATATGAAATATTTATGACTTTTATATTTTAGAATGTTTCTAATTTTCACCTGGGGGAAATTGGGTAGGCAAAATTACATAATTCCCTGATCAACCCTACCAACGTTAACCTAATTCCTTATGTGATGAAATTTTCAAAATTGGTTTTTTTCTATTTTATATATATATATTTATATATATTTATTTTTATATATATATATTTTTTAGTACAGTAAATCACATCCCGACACATTTTCTTATATAATGGAATTCTATCGTTCTGGTAACCTTTTTTGGCCATTAGGATCGATAGAAATAACTCGTGAAGAAATTGATAAAGAATTTAAATACATTCATCAAATCGAAAAGAAAAATAAGAATTATATAACATTAGCAATAAAATCCGCCGCTAATACATTTGATCAATTTATTTTAACTTTAGATGAATTAATAATACTTTTTTATAAAAATTTTAAAAATGAAATTATTTTATTTTTTTATGAAGATGGTGAAATTAGAGCAAGTGGTTTTTCTAAATTTCCTATTGAATTTAATGAAGGATTTGCACCTTTTAAAGGAGGAATTGCTTATAATTTATTAATGGCAATGGGACAACACATAAAATCCCATTTGGAACAAAATTTTGAAAAAATAAATTTGAAGTGGGAATGTAATCGATGTAATTTTGAAAGTTATTTAAGAGTTGATATTAATTTTACGATAGATTTAACGAAAATTATTGAAAATTCTTCAAGAATTAACATTTAATTCTACTATTTCTTTATATACTTTAAATTCCATATTTTATTTTCACATTGATTCATAATTTTTTAATAAAACTTTGGAGATAATGATTTTTGATATTTAATAGAAAAGATATGTACGAATCACTTTAATTAAAAGAACCTGCTTTCAAAAATGTATGAAATTTTTCTATCTCTTGTAATGGCAACTTCTTTTCTTCAATTTCATAGTGTTATTTCTTATTGGTTTTAACTCATTCCTTGTTATCCTTAGTTATATCTTGTATTAATGAATTGAATGTCTTTCTATTATATTTAAACAATTACTGATATCAAACTCTTACGATTTATCTCTTACTTATGGTCACATGTACAAATTGAAGTAATGATATTTAAATAAATAATAATTTCATAATTCAACTTTTTCTCAATTTCAAAATATTCTAATAAAAAACCATTCCGGATTGTGTCAGCAAATAAAGCATTTATTCTCGAATTTACGGGATATATAAAAAAACAGTAAAAAAATGAGTCAAAGACTCTATGCTCCACATATTCCATAAAGAAAATTTATTCACCTAATTTTTAGAGGCCTTTACATATATACAGTGGTGTGCAAAAAAAATGGCAATTTTTTTAAAAATTGATCATCAAGTGTAACTAACTCAATTTTGGTCGTACATGCATAAATAAATATGCAAATAAAAGCCCTGTGATTGTACTATTATTTCCGAACGAAACTTTTCCCAAGTACTAGTAAAAACCATATTTTTTTTAGCATTGAAATGACTTCTTCGAAGCAAGAAACGCAACAAAAAACAATTTTACATTTCTGGGAGCAAGGAATACGCAATGCTGCCGAAATCCATACAAAAACAAAGATTCCACTTAGGACAATTTATAACAACCTTAAAAAAATAAATGCGACTGGTGATGTCAAACGTAAAAGTGGTAGTGGACGCATTAAAAAAATAACCCCAAGAGCTTCCCGGTCAATCGGACAGTTTATTCGAAGACAACCCACACTTTCTTCTAAATCTATTGCTAACAAATTAAAGG